AGAATAATAATTGTTATACCAATTGTCATCTCAACTGTTGTTACTTCACTTCACTAGCATCATTCCGTGTATAATTTTTCATAAGCAATTTTTATTATAGTTCAATTATTTTATAGCAATTTAAATTTTTAATTTGTATTATATACTTTGTATTGTTACCAAAATAGGTAATTATATGTTATTATTTACATAGTATTTATTATATGTTAGATCATATTAATATTATACCCATAGGTAAAACTAAATGTTAACGGACTAATGCTCAGTTAGGACAATGATCTTATATTTATTTATTTATTTATTTGGGCGTTTGTAAACTCTGCCAGTTTTATTTTCTTATTTGTAATGGGTACATTACAATTCTGCTTTATACTTTTACCTGATTTTTTTCATCAATAGAGTTTACATGCACTCAATTTTACCTGCTTATTTTCTGGGTGAAATGTTTACTAAAAAAAGGTACTTGTGGCAAAGTTTACGTCATGCTTTCATTTATTTAGTTTTATAAAAATATATAGAACAACATAAAACATTAACATTTTTATTAAAAATAAAATTTTGTTTGCAAATTTCTCCATTTACATGAGTATATAATACCTACTAAGTATTTTTTAAAGACTTGGAATTATTCTTGAAATTTAATTGTCACAAAATAAAAAAGAAAATACATTTTTGAGGCTAAGGATAATTTTTATATGTTTTGAAATGATATTAAGAAAACAACTAGTTTTGCCTATGATTGTATTATTAATAGTGTTATTTATTTTTATCTACAAACAATATTAATCAATTATTGTACGAGTTAGTTATTAGAAATATTCATTGTTTAAAGTTATTCTGATATTAATTTTCAACAACTTAAACTAAGTGTACTATTTTATATCTATTATCTAAAAATTTAAAAATTGTTTAAAAAGAATATTAAATTTGTTAATTTAAAGTGTATAAGCTTAACAAAAAAAAAACACTTATACTCATAATATTGTAGTATAATCAAATTCAACATATCTAAAATATCAAAAGATTAATAATTGATAAAAGTTATATACACAATACTTTATGATGTGTGCATATTTATCCATTATACTTTATTTTGTAAAATATTTTAATAGTTTAAATTTCATAATTTTATATATTTTACAAACCAATTTTTGATTTTTAAGTAGTATTCTCTAATTAAAATATCTTAACATAATTTGTTATTTACAATACTGAATATGTTATAGTTTATTAACTTTAAACATTAAAATAAAAAATTGGTTTCTTTTTTCAATACAGTGAAAATAGATATATTTCAAATGGTAGAATTTTAGTTCTGTAAAAAATATCATTCCTATAAGACAATTGATAAATATTCTGAAATAATAAAGGTATTTTATGTTAACTTTTGAATATTTTTAAATTTGGTATACAAATTTAATAAAAAGCATTTAAACTTTTTAATATTTAACTGTAATTTAAATTTGTTAATAATTAATGATAATTATTATTTTATTTTAGTAAGTATTGATGATTAACAAAACTAAGATGAATACTAAACATTAAAAGAAATTATTTGCATTGAATTTGGCTGTTACTGGTAAGCTTTAATAAAAAAATGCTGTTTTATTAGTATATTATAGTTAAATACAAAGCACTGCTATTTAAACGAAAATTTTACTCTTCTAAAAAACATAAAAAATCTTATACCTTACCTAATTATATCAACAGTTTTTTCACTCACAATTTAAAATTTCTCATTCATATTTGAGGCTGCTAAAATACAGCTTATAATTATCAATAAAACTTTAATATAATAATTCTTTTATAAAATAAATACTCATTATTTTAAAAACTTATTGTTCTTGAAAATATTTTTTTACTTAGTCTTAATTTATTGCAAAACTACGCATTTGAAAAAAGGACTAAATTTTTATTATTATTTATTATTATCATTTTTTTTAGTTGTTTACTTAATAAATGCAATTGTTTTGTTTTTACTTAAATGATTAATTGTTTATTCTTAAAAAGAATATTTTTTAAATGTGTTAAAACCAAATTTTGGACATGTGGTTTATGAGTTAAATGTATTTAAACTTAAAAGTACCTATTGATTTTTAGCAAGTAGTGACTAAGGGATCCCTTCATATCACTCTTCTGTGATTGGATTCTTATGTATCAAAATACTCTAAATAATATTCTACAGATAATATTTTTTTTTAATGACAAGTCTATATATTATCATTCAAAAAAGTAAATAACTTGAAAAATGATATAAATTAACATTTGTAAAATAACAAAATCATGTAAAAAATATTTTCATAAAAGTTTATGTGTTTTACATAATTTACAAATTAATTGCCATGTATCATTGATCTATGATAAGTCTATGCCTGGTACTAGATACTCACTTGACACTATACCAATACCAAATAGGTACCTATTAATGACCTATGTTTTATATGTTGGCTAAAAAATTTTAATCTTCACATACAAGAAAATATAATACAATTTAATTTTTTTTATTAATAAAATAGAAAGTAATTTAATTAATTTACTTTATTAAAAAGAAAAAAAAATTAACAAAATTAATATTAGTTATAGAATTTTTATTGATCTATCAGTATGAAATGTTGATCCCGATTTACGCCAAATCAATTATTTTTATTGTACAATTAAAATTATTTGTTGTTAATCCTCTGATATGCATCATGCATGAAGCAATCCAGTTCTTATATTAATTTAAATTATTGTTTTTTTTTTTAATATTTTTAAAATGTTAAGTTAATGATATATTTTTCAACTAACTATTATACCAAATTGTGTAAAATTAGTGAAATATAATATTGTATTTATTTTTATATAATATTTAAAAAGCCATTCTGATTAATATAAATTTCTTATTAATAGCCAATGGGTATTTGTATTCCTAATATTTTAATAAATTAAATATAACAAATTATTAATAATAATGAATTTAACATAAATATAATAACTTCATTACATTTTTTTAAACATTTATTTGAAAAATATTATCTGTAATCTATAAAGGTATTTTTGCAATAAGTATATGTGATGTAAGGTTTTTATTTTTTATTTTTTGTTTGTTCAAGAATGATTAAAATAAACTACCAAACAGTAATACCATTCAAATGTAATAATTTTGAAATTATTTAAGATATCATATCCCATGATACATGGGTATTCTTTATAAATTGACATTAAAATTTAAAGGAGTACCTAGAGATTATTAAGTGCAGTTCAGTGTAAGCAATCCAACGACCAATTAATTCGTATTTCATGTTTTTGTGTTATCAACTTTAACATTAGAGCGAATCAATCTGTTAGGTATCTAATCAAACCTAAAGATAAGATTACTTATTAATTGTTTTCTCTCATGGGTTTTTTAAAATATTTTAATTTTTAAGGGAATTACAAGAGTTTTAAATATTAATATTTTTAATATCTGCACAGTAATACATAAAAAACATATCAACAAGGATAATTATTCAACAACTTTCGTAATAATCTAAATAAATAAAATCGAAAGCACTCCCTGTTAAAAATTATCTGCTATACAAATTCAGCAAAAAATATTTAAGCCATGCTAAAACCTTACCTAGGAACCACAAAAGTGACAAGCAGACACATGGCAAGCATATTACCAAATCCTAAGCCAAGTATTTAAATAATTTATATACTACCCCTACAACATTATATTACATAATTTAAAATTTTGGTACTTAGGCACAGATTCGACCGAATGTTTTATTTAGGAAAAAATACTTTGTAAAAAAAATTATGACAATTTTTAAATTATTTGTGTAATATATGTCATTTTTAATATTTGCTCCCTCCGTTATCTTGGACTGAATCCCCCATTGATGATTCTAATGGTAGTACTATTGTTATAGAACATAGGTCATCAACAATTTAATTAATTATTTATCCATCTACACTCCACACAAATTTTAATTTTTAAATTCAAGATAAATATTTAGGGTTAAGCATTAGGCAAACGTCGTTTACCGGTTTGTCTCAACTCTCATGGTGTAGGTAGTAGGTACTGGCAACAAGATATTTTCTTAATACCTAACCTATATGTCAATCAAACATCTGAACATCCAATAATTAATAAAAAAATATATTTCATTACCTATATTTATTTGTATTTATTTATTATTGTAAAAATATTTTAGAAATTTAAACAGATAGGCAATTATAAAAAATGTTTAGTTTATTTTTTGATACATATAATTTGTTACTTCTATCAGAATTTCTTTTTTTACTGTTTCTTAATATTTGTTTAAGTTGTATGTCATGTAAAAATATTATACTAGTATAACTAACACACATTTATTTTATGGTAATAAAATAATCCTAAATGGGTTCAATAGTCAATTTAATTTTGTGTATATAAATTATTTTATTTTAGTCTTGTATAATTGACAGTAGGTTAGGCACTGTAGGGTTTTTGTTCATTCTTAAAGCTGATATATTTTTAGTAATTTATAATTTATTTAGTATAACATTTTTATATCAGAGGATAATATTATTTTATCAAATAAAATCCAGAATAATTTTAGAAAAGTTTTTGAAATATTTAAATATTAAAAATATATTATAACATTTAAAATATTTTTTTATGTATTTACATTGATTTTCATTACAATGTATGCATACATTTGATATTTTATTACTATTTTATAAATTTCTTTTTCTGTTATATAATTTTCTGTAGCCTATTTTACTAAATTTATTTTTTCATTGCAATTATTACCTTAATTTGGTAATTAGTATTTCAGTGGATTACACACTGACTTATTATGTAAAAAATAAAAATGAATAAATATAGGTCTTTTTATTTACAATTTTAAATTTAATAACTTCTAAAAAATATTATTAATATGATTTGAAAATAAAGAATATAATAAAACGCCTATAAACTATAATATTCTACAAAATTATTAATAATTTTAACTAACTTAACTAAAAAAAAAGTATAGAAATATTTAATCAAATTATGTTGATGTTACTTTATTTTCATTTAAACAATTTTTTAATCTATTTTCAAGATATTTTTTTCTGTATGTTAAGGGTAATTCAGATAATTCTGAAATTAATTTAATATGATCTCCTTCTTTTGAATATATGTTTTCACCATTAGGTAAAATATTTCTTAGAGCTAGATTTCTTTGAATTAATTTTTCATAATACTCTATTCCGCCCTTAATGTATTCTTCGCTGATATCACATAATTTCTCATCAGCTTTTTTTTGATAAAAATTTTCAGTAGCAGTTCTTATTAAAACCCATACTATTACTCCTATGTTACTTACTAAAAAAAGTGCTAACGTTCTAACTCTGACTGGGTTTGGAGGTAGTCTATAGTATATAAAATTTCCAAAAGCATATATTGGCATTAATACTACAGAAGGTAAAATAGATTTAATAAGTATTCGTTGATTGTCTGTAAGCATCACTTCTCGAGCAATACTATATTTTTTAGCAGGTTCACTGAGGATTAACGACTTCACAAATTGTTGACCAAACTCTGAGTTATCATTTAAAAGTTTTATATGTTGTTTCTAGAAAGAAAGAAAAAAAAATATATCACACTAATTCTTAAGGTGTATATTAAAGTCATAGATTATACTTGTAAATTTAAATCTGCCGCATTTAGAATTGAAACATCATCTGCCGAATTAAGGTTATAAATACTTGGAATTCCTATGTAACTACCCATGCGGGTATTCAAACAACCAACATTTATTGGATTAATACCTTTAGCTGTAAATGGTGTTACAAAAGCTTTGTTAAAATCTGTCAACTTTAAATCATGAATCACATCGTCATATCGTTTTCGAAGAGATTCACTTAATGCAACAGGCTCATTATTTCTGAAAAAAAAAAATAATAATCTAATAACTCGTTTAAATATCAATGGAAATGATAAAGTTAAGAATACATTGTTAAATAATTATATCAAGGTTGAAAATAATTTAAACATTTTTAGTTTTTAAAACGCTAAGATATAGGTTACCTACATATTCACATGGTTCTTATTATGGTTTTGATTTTTAATTTAAAACTTTAACAAAATGTAATGATTAAAAAATTGATAAACAATTGACACATTTTTATAAACCTATTTCATTTAGTAGGTGTTACATAGATACTCAAAAGTTGATAAATAAAATAATGAATATAACTATAATTTTTAGTAACATACTTATTTGCTTCTTGAAAATATTTGACATATAAATCATTTAAGATTATATTAGAAGAATATTCAATAACACCGGAACCAATAGTCAAAGTGCATAACGCATTGACTACGAAATCCGACGTTATTTTGAATTTGCTCATAATAATTGTAAATTATTATAAATGGAGTTTGGAGTTACAATAATATTTTGTAAGCTGCGTTTAGGTTATTCTCCAACGATATTCTAATTTTTCCGTTGTTTTTACAATATTAAGAATTCTTTAATTTATTTAACTAAGCAGACATTAAATTAGTTAACGAAGGTTGCAGAAATTTGAAGTAAGTAGCAAGTACTAAGTAAGAAGTACAAAATACTATATAATGTATGTTATATTGTTATCTATGATTGAGGCAATCTATTTATCTATCCGTCATCTGACTATGATATGAGCATATCACATACTATTATCTATTATGTGGTGATAACTGATAACATTGTTAATCATTGATGAACGAGGTTTAAACTGTTTAAACTTTAAAGTATTATTATTTAATTATTTTCATTTTTCATTTTAAACTATGTAACGTACTAACGAACTAACGTGGTGTCTTAGTCGTTTGAATCACACTGAGATTATATTATCATCTTATAGTTTTCCCATTTCGTAATTATTATTAATAAATTATTAAATCGTGTACTCATGTAATGTGACACAATTTTTACGAATAAATATTTTTAAGGCCTCAAAATACACGTACAATTTTTTACTACAGAGTAGCTACATTTCTCCCGTTGGATTATGATTATGCCGTTATATTTTATCAATAATATTATTTAATATTTATGGCTCTGCTTATCGGTGAGATCATCCACTCCTATCGGTTATCCGCCGGTTAAGCCAACCAACTGGTGGCCGGCCGGTTCCCCGCACTTCTACGGCCTATCAACCACTGGGCGACTCCACCCGTACTCGTATCGTACGCCAATGACAGTTATTCATTTATCATTTCATTACATCTTTTTAGGTCTTGTATTTTTTTACGCACACGGCTGAAACCTCACGCACACGCGAACATCCCCGACCCTCCACCCAACCGTCAGTCGTTATCTAACCATAATCGCCGTAAATAAATCGTAGCGCACGCGAGTCTCGCCACTTTGGCCCTCGAATTTGTTGCACCGCGCCGCACCGTACCGCATCGGATCGCATCGGTTGTTGAGTTGAAGCGGCGATTTAACCGCCCATACTCGACACCGTCCGTCGGCCATCCCGGCATCGATCGCCGATCGATTTTGTACTGGTTCGATTTCGATCCGTTCCATGACGAATAACGACAACGACGACATCAACAACGACAATCGTGCGCGCTGCCGCCGCGGCTGTCCTCGTGCGTTGTTGTATAAATAGGTCCGAACGTCCGGCGTTGCGCGCAGTTGGTTCGCGCGTAGTATCTGTAGCGGTTAGTGCGATTATTGGCTTTATTATGATGACCGTCATCGTCGTACCCAGTTAGTTTTGTCCACTGTCCTGCACACCGGCCACCGGTACCCACTATCTATCAGTTGCGCAATGTCTGTGCTCCGGCAAGTGATCGATGCCTTCTGGTCGCCGGACATCTGGTTGCCGCCGAACACCCAGTGGTCTGACCTGGAACCTAACGAACAGGTCCAGTACACCGACCACCGGCACCTGTTTTACCCGCTGCCCATGGCCGTTGTCGTATTGCTCATAAGATATCTGCTCGAAAAGTGAGTCGAACTTTAGGGTGAACGAGCAGGAGTGTGTTACTTTTGAACTGCGGTTTATAGCTTTTTATTTCTTACCCGTCGGATCTTGTTTTCAGATATTGTTTTTCACCTTTTGGAATTTCATTGGGTATCAAAAGCTCTAAACCGAAACGAGTTCAAAGTAATGACGTGCTGGAGGAGACGTTTGCACGGAATAGCAAATGGAATCATAAGGAGGTGGTGGGCCTGGCCAAGAGGCTCGATTGGACAGAGCGACAAGTAGAAAGATGGTTGAGATTAAGAAGAGCACAGGGCAAGCCTTCAACTCTCATCAAATTCTGTGAGAGCAGGTAACATTTTATATTGATTAATATAAGCAAAAAAAAAAAAAACCACCTTGTACAAACTTATTGGTATTTGTATTCCTTTGTTAGTCTCTATGTAATAAAATAATTAATATAGTAACTTAAATACAATTTAATAAATTAACTGTATTAATTTGGCATGAGCCATCAAATATTGCGAGATAATTACTCATGATGTTCTTGTTAACTTTATTACAGTACCCTGTTCATAGTTGTTTTTTTTCACTTTTTTTTAATTCATTTATTATTATGAAATTTTATTAGTTCTCGCAGCACATTTTCCAAAAATCTAAGTTGTTAGATTTAAAGAATATTGATTAATTCATGTATATAATTTGAATGTATTTATTATCTTCTATTGTATAGTTTAATTAATGGATTATTTATTGTATTCATTAAAATTTAAAATTAAGACTAAACTATAGATTTGCAAATATTAAAACAAATCATACTTTTTATACATCTATTAAATAACATTGCTAGAGAATATAGAGAAATACACTGAAAGAATGATGATATTAATCAACAACTCACCTAATTATACATAATATTTAAGAAGGTAATGCTTAAATAATATTTTAATATATTAAACATGAATTGCTTTCATTAGTTCCTTGTTTGAAATTGATTATTAGACATCAATACATTTGTGATTAAAAATATATCTATTATTCTATAATTTAAATTGTATTGAATATGTAGAAGTTATAGAAGAATAATTCACAATTTATCTATAACAAATTAAGAAAACTATAACGATCCACCATAATATACAGAATGTTTGCTTTAATACATGGGTTCAATAAACTTAAATACTCAAAAAATTAAATAATCAAAAATCATATTGAGATTGAAATCTATTTAAAAAAAAATTAGAGTTGATATTATTTAAATACACAAAAACTTTGGACTTACATAAAATATAAAATATTAACTGATTTATTCTAAAACAAATACACTGTATATAGTGTATATGTTTATTAAGTTTTGTATCATATTAGTTTTTTGTTGTCTGCTAATTGTATTTTAACTTTTATTATAGGTGCCTTTTATCTATTTAGTTTTATTATTTCCTTATAACAATTTAGACTATATAGTTTTAAGATAAGTTAATAACCATTTATATTTTTTATTAGATTGTACCTATCTGTTTTCAATCGTAATTATTTGGTTAATGATGATGGTTATGACGTTTAGTACATTATTTTTATCAATGATTACCTACTTAATTATTATCTAGAAAATATATTGTTCCATCAAATACTACTAAAATACATTTTATAAAACTTTAATGGAGAATTTTTGAATTTTTTTGTTCTTAAACATTTTTTTTTTTTATTATTATTAAATACCAGCATTCTATTTGTTTTTTTCTTTATCTCGCACAAAATATAATAGAATAGTGTTCAATAACATTTTTTTTTCTGTTTTAGGTGTTAGTATTAGACTAACCTACTATAAAATTAAAATTTAAGAATATTATAATATGTGTTTTTATGTTGCCTTTTTTATGCTATTTAAATTTTTAAATTTTATGTAAATTATGAGTATAAAAAATGTTTATATTGATTTATTACATTTTAAATTATTACATACAGATTATATGTTAGTTTGGTTAGTTAAAAAACCTACAAAACATGTCAATGAATAAGTGAAGCTATTTAAATATTTTCTATTCAAAAATTTTGTGGTATAGTATGACAGACAAACAAAAATTAAGCGTGTAAATAGATTATGTAACACATTGTGTTTAATATTTTATGTAAAGCAAGAAAGGCTGAGATTTAGGTATAACTTGCAAAGCTGTCCAGTCAGTGGTTCTAATTTACTTTTTTATTGTTTGGCCACCTTGGCATATAAAAGCAACATATTATTATTGTGTTTTTATTTTTAATTATGTCATGATATTTATTATTTTCAAAATACATTTTGAGTAGGCCCTGTAAATTCAAAAGAGATTAGAATTTTTTGAACAATTTTGTTTGTATAAATTTTTTGCTATTATTTCTTAATAATTTTTTTATTAAAATAAACCAAACATAGTAAAATTCATGTTAAATTTCTATCCAATTAAGTAAATTAGTGATAAAAGTAGTTAAATAAAAATGAATTATTTTTTTATTACCTCAAATGTTGATTTAAAAAAATTTATTTATGTACGGTATAGAATGAACCTAATGTACATGAATAACAATAATAAAACATTGTATTTTAAGCTTATGATATTCATAAACTTAATGAAAAAATTTAAACTAACAATTTACTTAAATTACTATAAGTACTTAGTTTTTGAATATTAATTTTATTTCTTATATTAATATTAATAGTTTTTTGAATTGTTTTTTTAGTAGTTGGTATTAATGTAAAATAATTAAACATTAATCATTATCAATATACCAATATACCAATAATTGCTAATATTTAATTAATTGTAAATACTTTTGATTAATTTAATTTCTAAATGTCTAATTAGTGATTAGTGATTACTAAAATATTTATAATATCAATGTATTATATTTTGATTATAGAAATTACTAAGTCAACAGTTTTATTTAAAAATCGTTTGGCATACCTTTTAATTGATATTGAGCTAAATAATTATGTTTTAGTTGTAAAATTGTAAAATTACATTAAGAAAAAGCCATTTTTTTTTTTTATTTTAATATATTTAAGAATACAATATAAATTTTTCTCAAAATGTCATTAGAATTGCCTATACAAAACTCCTCAAATTGCAAATGCTTACTGTGTATAAATTGTATTTTATTTTTTAAAAATTTATTTAAAAGTCGTCTGTACACTTATTATTCAATATGCAATTAATTTTTATTCTGTTAAATAAATATCTTTATGATATTACAACACTAAAAAAAAATAATATATTAATTTTTAATAAACTTAAATAAAATAAGCATTAGAAATAGAACTTATACTAAATAATTTTCATAATTTTCTGCTTTAAAAAATGCTTTGAATGTATCTTTTTCAGTTGGCGATGTTTCTATTACACATTTTCATTCCATTATGGTCTTGTGTTCTTATGGAATAAACCATGGTTATGGAATATAGATTATTGTTGGATTGGATATCCGCACCAAGTAAATATTATTCTTGATTTGGCATAAATCTAGTTTAGCGGTCACGCTAATTTTTCACTTTTTTTTCTGAAACCCATGTAGTTAGTACGTTGAAAATGATAGTGAAGTCAGAATTTTGCGGATGGACTTAAATTCAGAGTTATAGCTATAAGAATTGGGTTAATATATATGTGTTATGTTAATAGTTTGATATGTTACTCAATAGTGTAATGTATAAAGGTTCTCCAGGTTCGATGCTCGGTGAGCGCTGATAAAGTTTTTGCATTTTTTCAAATTTTTTTTATGATAATTGATATTAATAATTATCCTGTAATCTACTTGAGGTGGTGTTGCATATCAAGTCGAAGGATATTTTTGATTTGCGAAACAGAGCTACAGCACCGAAGAATGCCGCAAAATGTGTAATCACTGCCCATACTATGACATAACTTACTGACACGACTTAAAAAAAATTGAAAAGATCTCAAGTAGGTCATAGGATAATTACTATTTGTTGTATTAGTTATCATAAAAATAATTTAAAAAAGTGAAAAAATTTTATTAGTGCTTACCGAGGTTAAATCCTAGGATCTGTCGCGCATTACATAGCCCTTAGTACCATTAGACTACGAGTATACATTATAGTATTACATTTTTGTGAACGTATTAAGCTATTAACATAATACATATATAAACCAAATTCAAATGGCTATAACTTTGAAACTAAGTTCGTCTGCAAAATTCTGACTTCACTATCGTTTTCAGTATATTTAACTACATGGGTTTCAAAAAAAAAAAGTGAAAAATTAGTGTGGCTACTAAACTAGATTTATTCCCTTGATTTTATTGGGTATAAAATATACCAATGTAATTAGTTCAATTTTTATTAATACTTTGAAAAAAAATTTTTTTTACAGGGTGTCACAAGAGACACATGGTGGTACTATATGATGTCATTATCATTTTATTGGGCATTAGCTGTTTCTCAATTTTTTGATGTCAAACGAAAAGATTTTTGGCAAATGTTTGTGCATCATATATGTACTATATGCTTATTATCTTTTTCATGGATATGTAATTTTCATAGAATTGGAACTCTTGTGCTTTTAACTCATGATTGTGGTGATATTTTCCTCGAGGTAATAAATATATATTTTTTCTATTACGTAAATATTATGCATTGTGTTTTATCATATAAAATAAAAGTTTGTTAAATAATAATAACAATAATAAAAAATAGAGTTGAAAAATCAATTTTAAAACTCTCAGAATCATAGGTCAAACAATAAAGATAAACCTTTTCTGTACGTTTTAAATTAAAAATATAAAATATTATTTGTTTAATTAAATTGTGTTAGAGGTCACATTATTATGTTCAAATATGATTTGGATTTGTCTGATTTAAAAATGTTAATATAAAATGTTTTTCATTTGTTACATATTAATAAATGTCAATTTTTGAAGGTTATACTTACATATAGATTTAATATATTAAAAAAAAAAGATAGTAGATAATATTCATTGTTATATTTTAAAAATAATAGTAGAAAAAAAATCATCATTTTAACCTTCATAGTATAATATTGTTATTTTTATTTACAATAATTAGAATGGTAAAATAAATTACTAAAACTCAATTATTAATTTTTTGAAATAGTTTTAAATTATTTTACTGAATAGTTTTGTGTACAAATTAGAAATTTTCGATAGATAATAAAATTTATGTTATTATATTCTATAGATTATAATAAATTAGATACACAAAAGATAAGCTTAAAAATTAGTGTCAGTTTTTATGTATGTTATATTATCGTATTTTGAGTTCAAGTTATATGATAAATTATATTTAAAATATAATTAAAACTTACTTTTACCTTTTATAATTTAGTATGTAATTCAGTATATATTCTGTCAATCGTGTCTCATTTGGTTTAATAAATTTTCTGGGAAAAACAAACTTGTAATTTTAAATTAAAATAAGAATTTAATGTGCATTGAAGTATATTTAAATATTTACTACAAATACTGATAAGAACCTTGGTTTTTTTATATTATCTTTAGTAATATTTTCAAGGACCTTATAGGGATTTTATAACTTTATTAGTTGAGGGTAATTTAAAAATAATAGCTATAGATTTAAAAATCTTTTATCAGATTTACAATTTCTAGTTTTATAAAAAATAGAAATGCAATGAATATAATAAATACGTACGAGTTTTTAATGGTTGATATGACATGCTTTCTTTTTAGAGGAGTGGAAATAGTAGTTAAAATTTAGTCAATTTATAAAAAAAAATTTTCTATTTTTGTGTATTATTGAATGTAGAATTCTGTAAGTTAACTTGTATAAACTTTAAAAAAATAAATAAAAATTATATGAATAGTAAATTTTTAAATTATTTACTGTTAAAGAGCCAGTAAAAATTTGTTTGACACTTATTATGGTTCTCAGGTGACCGTTTAGAGACTGTTTTGTTTAGATTTAACTATTTAAGTTTTATAGTTTCAAGTTTGATGTTCTTGATGATATATTTATAAAAAAGAATATAATAATATTGTCTATAAAAAAAATGATGTGATTCAGTACAAGTATTGTGCTAAAGCACAGCTTTTTATACACTAAAAGATATCAAAATATGCCATATAATATGCAAAAAAAAATTTTTTATTTATTTAAAATTTACAAATTAAACAACTTACAATAATTAATTACTTAAATAAACTAAATATATAAAAATTTTGCTCTGACTATAGCTATTGAAATATTCATAGCAATACATAGAGATAACCGTATACTTAAAATATTTTTGTATCTCTGCTATATATTACATTAACATGATATATTAATTTTTATTATATTGCATTTATGTATTTTAAGTCGTATAATTGTTGAAAATAAGAATACTTGAATATTTCTATACTAATAATCAATGATATTTCTGAAGATTTCAATAATTATAAAGTTGCTCCAAGATGATATTGTTTATTTTTATTCTCTGATTTGTGTATTACGAAAAATATAAATTAACGTAGACCAGTTATAATTTTGTAAATTATTGTAATTATCTAAATATTTTTAAAAAGTAAAATTATTAAATTTAAATTTTGAGCAGAATGATGAATGTATTAATTTCATAAAAATATGTGTTTTATTTATTTATTTGTATCAGTCATTCATCACTTTTTAAAGTAATAAAAATATTTTAATCTTTTATTTCAATATCTTTACTATAGAAATATTAATATGGTTGATACTTAGAGCTTTAAAGTAAAAATTCTAAATTCTTTCCTGAATAATTTGAAAAAACATCGTACAATTAAAAAAACATTAATTTTTATTTAAAATTAGTTTTTAAAAAAAACAAGCTTGTTATTTTGATTTATTTAAAAAATTATAACTGTGTAAATACTTGGATTCTTAACTTAAATGTTTTTATTACCACTCACTATACATGGTATAAATTTCAAAATAATTTGACCTATTTGTGCTGTATAATATGTGTATATATATTTTTATTTTTTTCTTTAAACATTGATAAAAATATTTATGCTCAATTAAATGGCTTGAAAATGTAATACTAGATAACAAGTTGTTCATACTGGAATTTAAAAAAAATAATTTATTGTAAATATTTATGATTGTTTGAAGTTAGAATTTTGATAAAATTTGCCTAAGTTACAAAATTTCTAAATTAATGTTGGTAAGAATTATTTTTGTCTTCTATTTTTATAGTTTAAGATGAAAACAAGTTTCCTTATAATTAGTTCTTACTCATACTAAAAAAATATAATAACAATTTTTTTTATAGAAATTTGAAATTAAAATTTTGATGAAATTAAAAATAGTTTTTATTGCAATCAAAAATATTTATTAGCATTTGAAATTTTTACTGAATTATTATTTTTTATTATATGCAATAATATTTTAAAAATATTTAGATTAATTTCAAGCCTATTTATATTGTATGACCCTTAATATATTAATAAAACTAAAATAATTTATTATAATAGCATTATGTATAAATATATAATTATATATTTTTAGTGATAATGGATGATAGATAGACCATCTCTACTCAGAATTTTTTTTTATATGTGATGAATGATGATTAATCATAGAATTAAACTTTAACATATCCATTATAGAGATCTCTCAATGGCAAGGTACACTCAATACTTGTGGTATAGTAGAGTGGTTATCTATTTATCTACTTAAATACTTTCAATTTCTCATAAATGACTGGTTTACAAAAACTTGTTTCCTTCATAAATGTGAAAAAGACTAATATTAAATAAAACCAGGTATAGATTTCATAAAAAAAGGAAGTTATTAATAATTGTAATAAATTATAAAATTTAATTCATAAATTTGTAGATAAGAAGAGGGGTCTGATAAAATTTTAGTCATGATGAAAAATAAAAATTTTATCACTGCACTATACATATTTTATTAGAACTTAATATAATTAATATTTATTTTATTAGTTCATTATAATTTATAAATTATTAGATTTGATATATTTTTTTAAATACCTACATTGTATTAGATGTTTTTAGAGTTATTTAATTAATATAGACTACAATTATGTTGAACATTTATTTTCAATATATTTAAAATATGTAAAAAATATTTTTGTATTTTTGTCTCTTAGGTTGACTTATAAAATTAAAATTTATAGCTTCTTAATTTTATTTTCAAGTAATAATACCAATGATGACTAAGTAATTTTTTTTATAATAATGTATTACTTATTAATATACTGACTTAATTGGCTAAAGAATCAATGATATTTTTTTTACAAATTAATTTGTAATTACAAACAATTATTCAACACTTATTTTGGGCTTATATGGGAACCAAAGTTTTCATATTTAACTTCTACCTATTATTTATTTTTATGAGAGTATATAAAAGTTAAATTAGCTACCTACTTTATTACCACAATGAGTTATGTATATATTTATGTGTGTCTGTGATGGATATTTGTCATAACACACTATTTAGAGATGTTCTTACATGGTCTGTTATATTTGTTTTGGTCCCTTATAGTATAATATAGATCATTAGATTATTGGAAGTATTTTACAGGTCAATCACCTATTAAACAAATAAAACATTTTGGAGGGCATCACATTCATAACCTCTTCTTTTCTGCGTATTACCTCATAAAAAATTGCTAATTAATATGATTTAATATAATATGCTTTTAAAATTGAATATTTATGATTTTATTTCAATTAGATTAGTAAGTAAAACATTTTCCGTTAACATTCTAAACTCTAGGTTTCTATTTCTTTCATCATATGCCCTCGTCAGACCTTAGTTCTTATCTACCTTAAGAATGTGGTACTATACATAAAAATAAAAATAATTATCTGTGTTTTCATTTTTATAAGGCAATGCTAACCAATCAATAATTAAAAAAATTACATGAAAAATAAATAATAATTTATTTAATACATCTTAAAAGTTACAAACTAATTATATTATTATATTATTATAATTGTATTATACTTTCATAATTAATTTAAATTTAATTTTAAGTGCTACACAAATATACTATTTTATATTTTAAATAAAGCCTTGGAGAGAAATGATTTAGTAAATTTATTTTTATAACTACAATAATTCTATTAAGACTTAATTATATGAAGTATAAGACATATAAGAAAGTTGTCAGTTTGGGCTATAAAAAATAAGAATTAAAGTCCAGGAATATAATATATCTATATTTATAAAGATTTAGTAAAGAAATTAATAGGTTATGTATATATACATTTTGGTCATGTGACCAAAATTATTAAATCAAATTAGGATCATGATATGATTGACCTTGGATTAAGTAACATTAAAAATGGATATTTTGAGGTATCCTTATTAAAAAATATTTATACTTATAAAATTATTATAAAAACAGTTTGTTTCATGCTTTTTTTAGAATATGCAATTTGACTAGGTACTTCTAATATATATTTTTATTTTTTTATAGTGTGCAAAAATGGCCAAATACGCCAAATATCAAAAGTTATGCGACTTCATTTCAGTAGTATTCATTGTTGTCTGGTTGGTAACTAGAATTGGCTTATTCCCTTTTTGGATTTTGTACAGGTTAGTTGTATATTAGTTGTACATAATATATTTGTATGGTTTGTTTTAATCATAATTTTTGTTTATATTTGAATATAGTACGTCAGTTGATGCACCTGAAGTAGTAAATCAAATGTTCCCTGCTTATTACATATTTAATGGACTACTGTTTCTTTTACTTGGTCTTCATCTTTATTGGACACACTTAATTTTGAGAATTGCATATCTGTCCTGGAATTCTGGAAAAGTATGTATCCAAATAGTGTTTATCATAATTTCTATTTTCTTATGTTTTTAATTATTTTTGATATGAATTGAATCAAACACTTATTTAAATCATTTTTAATAAATGTTTTAAATTTTTGTCTTTAATTAAAATGATAAATTAATAAATTTTTAATTATTTTAGATGGATGGTGACATTCGTAGTTCTTCTAGTGATGAAATTACACTAGATGATGATTCAAATACCAAAATAGATGACATAAATGGAGCGTTACCAAATGGCACAATTTAAATTATACTACTTTTATTTATCTTTGTTTTATTGAGTTTTGTTTGAAATAATTTCAAAAGCACTTTAGGTATTCATGTAAATATTTTTGTGTTCCAGAATACTAATCATTTTATTTCCCTATTTAATCATTTAAGACAAAAAAAGTGTTAACTTCATGAACATAGCTACTTAAATGAAAAGTTTCTATAAATATTATGATCACTTAAATGTTTCAGATTCAGCTCTAGTCATCTATAAACAATAACATTTCCTAAAAGAAATATACCATAGTTATAATATTTTATATGCAATTATTATAGTTTTTTATGTTTTAGTTTGTTAATTTATTTCATTTTAACTTCATCAATATACTTAAATAATGCTTATTCATCCCTTACATTCTCCAATCCCCCAAAAAATTAAAAAAAGAGAAAAATGTAATTTAAAACTTAAGTATAATATTTGTATTTATTATATTATTTATAAAATAAAATAGTTTTTTATATGTTTTAAGAATATTTAAGTTTAAATGTCTTGTTTAGGTACAGCCTTTTTTTGGTGTTGTGTTAGTAACTTTTTTTTAACCTCAAAGTTATTGATTTAACATTACCTGGTACTAACAGGCACCAATATTCCTTCAGAATAGATATTGTTCTACTAGCACTATTTAAATTTATAAGTATAAAATTCTAACTATATCTTAACAATGGGGAGTAGTGTTACGGAATCAACGTCTTCTGATGTGTTGGATTTGACAAATTTTGATACGTGTGGGCATTTGAGTCCTTTCATATTGACAAGTCCGCGATCACTATTAGCATGCCGCAAGGCTAAAATAAAGGCAAGTGATATAGTTAGTATTAGTATCTTTATTTGATTTTCAGCATTTTCATAGCCTAATGAGTTATTGTACAAGAGTGCTGCAGATATTTCTAAAGACCTTGATGTGTCAATTAAGTTAGCGTATCCAGTTTATCAACAACATGAAAAAATTAGACAAGGTAAGTATTATTGCAATAAATATAATGAGCTGTTGAAAAATGTGTAATTACTTATTAGTTCATTTTCAAATAAATGTATTAGGTAACAATTAAAATATATTAAACAATTTCAATTAATTTTGAAATATTTTAATATATTTTTAATTCATAAATTCAAAAACCTAACCTAAGTACTTATATGGTCAGATGTATACAATTTAAAAAATAAAAGGACATTTTGTTGAAAAAAAATAGTACAAAATAAAATCTACATCAACTAATTAGTAAAACCTATGATAATATTTAGGTGTACATACCTACATATAAACCTATTTAGTGTTAGATAGGTACCTACCTATTTCATTTGATGTTTTTCAACTATTATTATTTATTAAGTAAATAACAAAGTACCTATATAGCAAAGAAATTAAAGAAAAAATGATGTATTTTATATTAAATCTGAAATTGTACATCCTTAGCAAAAAATTTATATTTTATTTTTATCTTTATCAACTATCATCGATAGTAAATTTGTAATATAATTTAAAATCGGAAGAGCCAATAGTCAAAAGAACATTTTCAAACACTTACTCCCCTTCACTAGTCATAGTTATTAGTTTTAACAAAATAGAAAGATCCTTGTTTTCTTAAAGAAATTCCAGATGCTGTATTACGTTCTTAGCCCCGTAGTTGTTTTTTGGAATTCAAATTTATAACTTAAATTAGTAGGTACTCTAATATTTGAGGAGTACAATTTCTTGTTCATATTTTGCAAATGATATACGAACGTCATTTACTTATATTAAATAGAATGAAATGTTAATAAAAATTATATTTTTAAGGAATTACGATTTTTAGTTTATTCAAATAAAATTTATTTTGTGTTTTTGTTTAAATATTTATAAAATAATATTAATGAACCACTAAATTAATGAATTCAGTACTTAAGAACGTACACATAAAAGTGTTTCTCAAAAAGATGAATGTAAAGACTGTTTTTACGAGTTAGACGTGAATAAAATTAATTTTTTAAACTGTTGTAGTATGGGTAGGAAAATTGCATTTTCGTTTTTTTGAAGTTTATCTAATAGGTATCTATTGATTTAGTTTTGTTTTTTATAAAAGCTTATAACAATGAGTGGGGTTTCCGTAAATCCTATAAGTTTGCTTGGTTACGGCATTAGGTAGGTATCTTATTGTTACATGCTAGTTTTTAGGCATTTCAAATGAATTGGTTGATGGATGAATTTTATTACTATCTTATTAGTTACTTATTACTAGCTATTTTACTAATAAGATATTTAGTAATAATAAGTTGTGTACTTATTTCTTTAATTACCTATATAAATAATTAGTAATTAGTAATTACTAATTACAAATTAGATTTTTAACTAAGACGTATTCAATGATTTTAATGACAATGTTTATACTCTAAATTATATAGTATTATGGCATAAATAGGTAGGAATTTATTATTTAACCTGCTATCAATAGATATATTTTACTATTTAAAAAGTTGATTATTAATAAAATAAATGTGAAGAGACGGAATATTGGATATTTCAAGTGAAATTAAAAAAAAATCCTATAAGTAAATTATAATCCTATAATGTTCTAGGTATTTAATATCTATATAAATATAACTAACTTTTTATTGTTTAATAACATAACGAACTCTTGAACTCTCAGATTTTATCCAAAATTCTATAAGGTGTCAGCTGTCAGCAAAGGCGTATTTACAGGGGGGGGGTCCCGGGTCTCGACCCCCCAGAAAAAAATAATATTAATTTATATTATGTGTTTTTAATGTTTGTATTACAATATTTTTAAAAATAACTTGGGTTTAACTATTAATTGACATTTATTTTCATAATAATAGTGAAATATAATATAATATAAATAATATCATTATTAAATCATAACTCGTATGTATTTTATTATAATGTTATAAACTTATATTTAATATTAAGACCCTCCCCCTCCCCCACAAAAAAATTGAAAATACACCACTGGCTGTCAGGGTATTATTAATCTATAGGAAGTTATTGTTTATTACATATGTAATTTGTCTATGCATTATGTAGAAAAGCTTGAAGCATGTAGACGAGAGAGAAATAAACTGTTGTACTATGAAAGTATAACTGATAGTACATCAACACGGAAAAAAAGAAAAAAATGTCTGAAAAAAGAAATGTCATTCTATCGAAACAATATCGCTTCAAATATGCGACGCACCAAGTCTATTCAAAATAAATTAAATGAAGATGAAAAGTAACTTTTTTTGTTATCTATAAATTATAATATATTATTATTTAGTTAAATAAACTTATTTATTTAGGTACTTAAAAGTTAGGCATCATTATCAATAAATATTTGTAGGATCGTACGATTATTTATAAATACAAACATTTCTGAACTAGGTTACTAGGTAACTAGGCTGGATACTGATATCGTTAGATAATATATGACTATAGATACCTATTTTTTATTTATTTAAACAAACATTTATTATACGTTTATACGTTCCTATTTACAAGGCAGAAGTTAATGGTGATCAACCAGGGCTTACGTCTAGGTCACCTATTATAAGGAAGATGTCTCAATGATATTTAAATATATGCGTACCTATATAGATACTTAATAATTATAAACTGAAAATTGAAAAAATAAACTTTTTTTTACGTTTTTATTAATTAAAAATATGATTTTCAGTTATTAACCATTAATAATTTAATATTTCTATGGTTTTGCCAAAGTATTTTTATACAGGTTAGGTTAAAAATTGCAATTGATATGGTTTTGCCCAGGGTACCAATATTTGTTGTGCTAGCCCTAGGTACTTATTTCTACAGTCTACTGCATAGGCGAATTATAATTAATCCTTTCTTCTAATATAGTATAAAATTATTTCCAGTTTATACGTTTCAATATTCGACGGTAGGTATAATAAATTATAACCAATATCTTATCATATTATCAATATTACATTAGTTAACAAATATAAATCATTAAACAATTATAACTCAAATGTTTTTCGTAACTGGAATTTCCTCTGCCCAAAACTATAAAAAAAAAACTTCATTACAGTAATTCTTTATTTTCATAATGCATTGTTATTTGGCTATCTAGTTATCTATTAAAATGTTTAAACGTAGTCATTAGACTAGGTATTATACATAGCTCATCCAATAATCTAATTTAAGTCCCCTACCTATTTATAAATGGAAATTTTAACGTATAATATAGAAACGTACATCATAATGTCACAAAAAGACGAAAACGTCGTTGTAAAAAATCAAAAAGTATAAGTGACTTGATGGATTTAAAAGAACTGTGTAAAGAAGTGGATCGGATTGCAATCCTCGAAAAACGTGAACCAGACACGACTAATAAGCGGAAACCTATAAAAAAATGTTCACGATCTGGAAATGCAAGGTACGCATTTTAATTTTTTTTTTTATAATAGAGAATATAATATGTAATCAAATAATTTTTTTTGTAAAACTTTAATATGCAAAATGCGAACATTTTTTGGCTTTTTAATATATTTTATCGATTTAAATTTAATTTTGTTAAAATTAATATTGATAAATGATCATTTTTAATAATTATTTTAGTGATAGTATGACCTGTATACGAATAGTGTCTATTGTTTATATTAATTATTACTATATATTACTAATTAATAAAATATGATTTATAATTTAATAATTTAATAATATTATATTATGTATTATTAAAAAATATGGAAATTTTGATCTGAAAAATTGTTTCTTTTGCTAGAACATATTGTAATATTTTATTCCATGATGAAAATTTTTTTTGTAAATAATATTACACACACACACACACACAATATACAGTGTTGGCTTGGCCTAGGCGGATAGGAGGCGATCGCCTCCGAGGCCCCGAGCCATATTTTTCAAGAAATAAATGAAATTATTTACTAAAATGTTTTTTAATGCCCAGTGATATGCATTCGGATCCATTATATTTTTTTATAATATACATTTTATTATTTTAATGATACAAAAAATCATTTGTAATAATTAAATGATAATCAATTTATAAGACTTATTTTTACAACTGAAAAATTTATCATGATATTAGGTATATTGTTATTTATATTTTTTATAATTTGTAAGTGTGTGCACAAGCCGCCTGTATGGTTTCCCTTGTCATAGACTGCCAAAGAAAAATAATGAAAATACTATATCTTTAAAAAATAAAAATATGTATACTTTATTTTGTTAATATAAGTAATAACTAATAACTAATAGTATGAATTTTGCTTGTAATTTTCACAGAAATTTAACTCCCCCTGTTTTACAATCCTAAATACGCCCCTGAATAGTTGTAAAACTTAAATCTTTATTTTATATAATTTTACATAAATTCTGTTATTAAACGTAAATGTAAACTTGTTACTGATTCTCAAATTAAAAAAAAAAAAACAATTTATATGGTAATTTATTATAACAAATTTTAATATTTTTGTAATGAGATCTAATTTAATTAATATTATTTAGAAAAATAATGTCTTCAAAGTTCTGTTATTGAATATGAATATGAACCTGTTACTAATATTAATTACTGTATTTTTGAGAGGCCCTTTGAAAAATTTTCCTCCTGGGCCCTTTAGATCCCAGGCCGACACTGGCAATATATATAAGTTATGATGACTAATCATTGTGTTTTTAGAAGCTTAATGGATATCAGTGGTATTCATATACCAGACCAAGACCGAAAAATTTTAGATAGTATGAGGCGAAAACGTGAAGAAAGACAGTATGGAGAGGATCTAGCGCATAGAGTAAATATATTCTGGGAACAAATGCGCGAAGAGGAAAAACGGTTAACTAAAGAACAAAAGCAAAAATGGCAAAATTTTATAATGGCAAAACGAAATGTTGAAAATGGAGTCAAACATATGCGTTTAGATGAACTGCGTGTAGAATTCGAGAATAACCAAAGAAAATTGGAGGAACAGATTATACAAAAAGACAAAAGGGTTAATGAACTTAAACAACAAATTGAAGACCGCAAGGTATATGTTAATATCAATATTATATCAAACATGATAATAGGTACACTGTAATAAAATTTTTTTCCTGTTTTATACTCGTATATATATGTATATGGTCAATCATATTCATCTTTTTTTAAGTATATACTAATGACTATTCACTCTGCTTACATGCCATAGAATAATATATTAAATATGTCCTTTGTACATTTTATAAATTATGTAATTTGATTAACAAAATTATGGAAATATATCTTAAATATTTTCACTTATGTACTACATACTCATCGACGTGCACAGGGGGGGGGGGGAGATGGGCCATGGCCCCTACTGTGAGCTGTGAGTCAGGCTGTACCATAGAGCGGCATACCTTACTTTGTTATCTATTATTGTTGTTATTTATTATCACGGTCAAAATCAATGCACGATTCTTAAAATTCAAACGGTCTCTGGGGGATCTAAACACGCCTTTTCCTTCCCACTTCAAATACGCCCTTGATACAAATTTAACATTGGCTTCCCCCCCCCCCCCCCCCCCCCCCCCCCCCCTCCCCCCCCTTCCCCCATTTTTCCCGTGGTTCCCCCCCCCCCCCCTCTGCCACAAAGGTCCGCGTACGCCTATGTATCTATTATTGTCTATAATTTAACTTGATTACTTAATCCTTAACCTTTATGTACGTAATACACTAATACGTAGATTTAGATTCATCTCACATATTGTGTTATAGATTTATTTTTAAGGGTAATTTTCAATGATCATCTCCATTGTTTTGTTGTGTAATTAAAAATATTAAGTAAAACTGTAGGTTCTAGCTAAATTGAAATAATAAGATTTATAAAAAAGGATTTAATTAAGATCATAATATGTAGGAAGTAACTAGTAGGTATAATAGTATAACAGTATAGGATATAAATGGGTGAATGGCGATGTATTTAACATAATACGCATAATTTCAAAAAACACCTGACGTTCTTGAAAATATTACTTTTAAAAAATTTTACTCATTATACAAATCTTCAAAAATGATTCTGTTTCAAAATAAGGAATTAAAAATTCGTTTTATCAATAGAATACTTAAATTTAAAAAAATGATAAAGATAAAATAAATATGTTTTTTTAACGACTTAAAATTATGTAAACAAATTATTTTCATATAAACGTTCATATTTTTTTTTAAATAATGGGTATGTTATACTCGTATTAAGCAAATCATTCGGTATATTTCAAAACTAAAATTTATCATTTAATAAATTATTTTAAAGTTATTACATTTAACTATCTATCGTATTATGTAATGTTAAATATGTTGAGATTATTTTTGAATAATATTCCATCTACTTAGAGCTTTATTTATTTATCCAGATAAAACTATTAAATGTCTGCAAACTATTAACTCGTTTTATTTAAAAAAAATAAATATAATTTAACATTTTTGATATAAAATGTCGATATAATTAGTAGTTAATTAAGTATTATACTTGTTTGTGTTTTATAGTTGTTTGAAAATGCATTAAAACAAGATACAGAGTTCAGGAAGCATAAAATCGCGAGTGATAATAACTTTTATGAACAAATGAACGCTCTTCAACACAAAAAAAGATTGCATGACATAAATCTTTTGAAACAGAAAAAAGCGGATGAAATAAGAAATAAATCATTAAAAATAAGTCAACAAGTAATTTTTGTTCATTCAAGAGCTGTTTTTAAAAATATCGATAAACTTTATTATTATTTAATATTTCAATAGTTTAATTTTTTTTAAGATTATAATATATAACATTAACACAGACAACTATATTTTTTTTTACAATACAACCATTTGATGAGGTTGAATTTTAAAAATCGAACAAAATCGTTAATATGAAATATGAGCTGATGTTTTATAATTATTGTTTACATTTACATTGTCATCATCAACTCTGTTACACATAGTTGCAATAAGAAGATGGGTGGAGTGTACATAGTAGGTGAAGATGGGCGTGATTGAAGACGTTATTCATTGATAGTGTTTCAGCATGTTTAATTTGAATATAGTTTAAATTAGAATAATGCTAAGGTTGAAGGAAATCCCTTGGTCATTGCCGTTTTAGCCCTCGGGGAATATTCATAAGTAGTTATGTTTTTACTTTTTAGTTGCTTTAGTTATTTACTCTGTTATCATTTTTTATGTAGTATAAAAATGTTTGTTAATTTGAATACTTAATTTATTATTTCTCATACATTATAGTCATGTTTTTATGTTTTATTATTATTTAAAAGACGCTATTTGTTCAATTTGTACCTTTTATACAAACGTACAACATATTACCTAGATACCAAATTTGAGTTTAATAGTAGGTACCTACCAATTTTGAGTTATTATAATTTATTATTAAACTTAAGAAGACGACACACACATTATTTATTGACTTGATATAGAAAATTCTAATAGAATTTTGAAAAAAAATTAAAACTTTAAATCTTAAATATATTTTGACATTAATTTAAAACATTTAATAGAATATAAATGGTCAATGGGTTATACGTAATAACAAGATTACTTGTTGTTTATAATATCTTTCTTTATTTTTCTTGAATTAAAATTAAAGATTAAAATTATTATCTGTTTAATATAGAGAAACATCTTCACATTGAGCAAACGAATACAAGAACAGTATTTTTACATTAGATTTGTCGAAATTGTACACTAAATAGAATAGAATTATATCTTATAAGTTTTTTTATTTATATCAATTCTTACTAAAATTTATAAATTTAAATAAAAAAAAAACACAAAAAATAATTTTTATGATTAAATGATTTGAGTTATTGAAAAAAAAATACTACAACATTTATAAAATTCTTTTCTATTTGATGTGTAAGTCATACTATAAGACAGCGTTTCTCAAACTGTGGGTCGCGAGAAGTAGTATTATATTATTATTATAAGTATATTATTAAAATTATTATTATTATAAGTACCTATATTATTATAATTATTATTATAAAGTAGTAAATAAGTAATAAAAAAATTTGTTTTTTGAAATTACTTTTTTGATTCTGTAAATGTAAAACTATGGGGGTCGCGATAGATTTTTGGAAAAAGATTTGGGTCGCGGTCCTAAAAAGATTGAGAACCACTGGTATAAGATATACAATTCAGTAAGATTCCTGTAAGTATCTATTTTAAAAACCATTTTCATTAAAAAATTATTGGTGGTTTAGCGTTCTTTTAAAGTTTTTCATAATAATTGAATTTTTAAACGAGTAAATAAATATACCTAATTTGCAATATTACAATTTTAAAATACTAATAAATTGCTTAAAAATTAAATTATCATAAAAATACAACATATAGATACAGATATATTTTTATTAGTTTTAAATTTGATAATGTATTAATTAACTCTAATACTTTAATTAACAACACAAAATTGGTATTAATTAATACAAATTTGATACTTGTTAATTTGTAAAACTAAAACAACACGTTGTTTGATGTTCTTTTATAACGAATACACAGCTATTGTTCTTATATTTTTAGAAAATTATGTCGTCAAATCGTTTGGAAGAATTGCGACATGCTGTGCAATTAGAGCGAATTCAAGCACGGCATGATGATACAATCCGTCGAAAATTTGATGAGTGTCAAGCAAAAGAACGCAAGGCTTTTCAAAATCATTTAGATAAAATGTCTATGCGCATGCGAGAATTAGCTAATAAAAGGTGAGCGAAAATTTTTTCATGATCATTGATCAATATGAACAATATTATGCTGCCAGATAGAATTGATATCTATATTACCTTATCATTGGTATTAGTCATGGAAAAGATTTTTAATGATTGTAAAGCAACGTTACATATTTAATCTATACTTATAGCCTACAGGCTAATAATAAACATGAGAAGCGATAGGAATATTGAAAAAATCTAGTAATATTGAAGAATTAAACTGTTTACATATGTAAATTGTTAATGAAAAAATAAAACAACTCTTAAATAAGTCGTAACATCAAACAATAACTGTTAAGGTTTAAGGTATAAGGTACCTATACAATTAATCGAAAAAAAATGAGTTACTCTTTCATAATTGTAAAAGTCTGACTTCACTCTCAAGAAATGGAAAAAGTATGCGCTGGGTTGACTTTGACCATGTTTAGTATTAGTGATAAATGATGATATAGTAGCTCTTTGTGACCGAAATATCTATTTTCTGTATGTACCTAAACTATTATTTTCGTGATTTGTTGTATTGTAAAAAAAATCTATAAGTAGTTAATTCAAATCATGGATGATATAATTATATACTGTTCTAATAAATCATCATACATTTCACAAAATCGTTTAAAATGAAAATATCTGTGTAAAATAATTATTATTTTTAATTAATTAATAATAAAACATACTTATTATATAAAGATATTATACATTATTATTAAGATTAGCTGTTCTTCAATTAAAATATAATAAAATACAAATATAGCAGATTAATTATGTTGATTTGACAACTATGTATAACCAATTTAAAATAAAAATAATGTTAATATATTTAAATTGTACATAATTTAATCAGTTTACAGAGGGAACAACACATGGGTCAAGTTCATAGAGTAGCTAGAGAACTTGAGGATGGAATGCAAAGATGGCAAGATCGTATAATGTTAATGCAATATGAGCAATTAAGAAGAGCAAAAGAAAATGCAGCCCTGTACACTGACAATAAAAAACTCAGAGCTGAGATAGAAAATAAGCGTAGGATTATAGAGCATTCTGCTAAAATACAAAGGTGAATTTTTCTAAAATATGAATAATATTAAATATCCAAATTTGTGTAAAAATTATTTAAATTTCTATAGTTTGTTATTAAATGTAATAATTAAAATAAACAGGTGCGTGCTGCGTATAAAATGAAGTAAAACGTATAAGTACTGTGTAATGTGTAAATTAGCTGTTTTTACTTTATTTTCAATTGTTATTTATTTTTTTTTTACTGACAGTTTTATACACCATTTATAATTTTAAGGCACTTTGTAGCTTTTACCAAGTTCCTTTGTTTATCATCATCTAACGTATTAACGAGTTTCGTTGGTTCTATCTAATTGTCTAATTTTATTTTACGCTTATCTTGCCAATTTTATCAACTATTCTTATAGCGCTTACCTGACTTTCCATTATATTAGTTGATTAATACACTTTAGCTCCAAGATTTCTAGTATTATGGGCTTTTTAAATATTTAATATTATAAGTTTATTTAACAGCACCTATTAAAAAAACTATGTTTTCTTTTTTTAAGTTCGTTTCTAATGGGTTCGTATATTTTTTTCAATAACTTTCTTTTAAAAATAAGTATTTTATACTTATTTCTTTGTGTAAATTTCATAAGTAAACATGTCAATTGCGTTTTCCTTAACATGTAACTTGAATTAAGTTCATTAATTTAAATATAATAATAATATATTTATATACTATTCAGACCATACTTATAAATTATAATTACATGTTATAACATTTTTTTTTTCGTATATTAGTACAACATGTTTTGTAACTAATATAAGCTGAAATCATTTTAATTTAATGTTTCTAAATCGTGAGAATTGTAGTTATGAAACTATATAAGTATAATGTATATATTATTATGTTATTGGACACATTTTTTACCCAAATGGATTAATCATTAATATATAAACTTGGATAACAGTTCTAATGTTATTTATAAAAATATTTATGTTTTTTATGTAATGTCACTGATTAGGGTTTTAAAACCAATGTTTTTATAATTTAATGCTTCGAATAACATCAATGTAAAACTATAAAAAATATATACATGCAATACATATTTATTTAATTTGTGTTACATACGATATTTATAACATTTTCAAAGATTTTAGATAAGGAATATTCAACTTATTTTTAGCTTATTTATCATAACTTTTGATTTGATATTTCTGATTCATTAAATTTATTAAATTAAATTATATATTATTTTTAAGTCACTAAAAACCTTTTGTGTTTTAAAATCAAGTCTTGGTCAACTTTTTGAAAACATCATAAGATATTATATTAAACTGTACATTTATTTAAAATGTTAAGAAATATTTTCAGAGTGAAAGAAGCTGAAAGAGAACGACTGTGTAATATCAAAAAAGAGATTGAAGAAGAAGAAAATAAAATAAAAAGAATTAAACAGAAGAAAGATTTGGAAATTCAAATGGGTCGAAAACTGGCGTTAAGTACAGCTGAATTGAGAAAAGAAATCCGGTTAAAAAATTTATTTATTTATTTAAAAAAAAAAAATTAAAAACTTAATAATTATAAAATTGTTAATTGTTTTATTTTTTAGACGCAGTACTGAATTGGATTTATTTAACACGCGATGATGATTATATTTTGATGTATTTTAATAATAAAATTGTAAGGATTTAGGATAAAATATATTAGATGTATGTTTTAGTTTTTAATTTATCTTATAAAATTATTAATGTATTATTTTTAAATAAATTATCACTCACCTACAATACATCTAACTGTGAATAATTTTTTTTATTATAACTATTATAGTACTTAGATTCTTAAATTGTGTGTCTATAGGTTTGTTTAATCGGTTAGGTTAGGTTATTCAACTAAATCGAATTCCAGTTATTTTTTCGAAGATTTGGAAGTAATGATAGTATTTTTTTGGAAAATGTGTTTTGTTTGTAAGATAAGGCTTTATTGACAAAAAAAATCCAGGTAATCATTACTCATATGATAGCTAGTAATGCTAGGCTGTGCTTGGCCGCAGTACAATAATCTAGTGACTGTGGCCAAACATTATGCTACACTACTGACAATTTAGATAGAAAGTTCAAGCTGGTCTATTCATTAATTTTGTGATAGCTGTGCGAATATAAAAACCTAAGCTGATTAATGCTGACGAACGTTGTGAATGCATGGTGATGTTATCGTTTTGGTTGACTGGAATTTTTATGGTTACAATAATAATATAACTCTGGATTGAGGTGTACTTAAATTGCCTATTCAATACGCCATGTGACCAATTTTTAAAAAGTAAAAGGTACTGTAGATAAAGGGAGGCGTTTGAAATTCCAACAGTTAAAACATTGAAAAGCACAACATTTCGACAAACCAAGCTTTATTATTACTATAGTAAATATTGACAATTTAAAATTTATTGTGGTAAAAACAATCGTCTATTAAAATAATTAAAGTTAAAAATTAAAAGATTAAATTAAACATTAACTGTTTAAAATATTTATAAAAACATAAATCATTTAGATACAAGTAAATTCAGATATAATAATACCATATTTTAAGCAGTTTTACGTAAAAACTCCAAAATAGTTACATTTATACGATTTAACATAATATTTATAATTCGTTACACCCTTAGTTCATTTTCTTGTTTTGATTTCGGTCGAAGTTCTCTTTAAAGTTAATATTCATGTAAAATTTCTGTATTTTGTTATTTTTTTTTGAGTTTTTGAAGAAGATGCCAATATATAAAGGACTAACTAGAGATTTTTAACGCTTATGCTATGCTTTTATGGTATTTTGTGTTCTGGACATATTTTGTCCTAAAACAGATCATAGTTCTGGAGAAAATAGTCGTAAACGAAAAATTATATTGTCATTTATTAAGATTATTCTTTTACCACCTATGAGTTCTTTTATGACTGATTCATATTTTAACTTATTCTTAATTTTAGTGAATGCTAACGTAATTTCAGTAGGTGGCAAAAAAGCAAGAGTAATCAAATTTCGAACTAAAAGATTAAAATTCTTAATCTCCCTCATATTTAACAGTTAATCCAATAGATTGAAATTTTCTCAAATTACTTTGATCGAAATGAAAAAGACTTAAAAAGCTTTAAGTATTCGAAAACTCTTGTTTTATTGCTTTAAACACTGCTGGTTCGAAGTTTGTTAAAATAAAGTTTGGTTTTAAATATATTTCAATTTCCTCAGTATGATCCTGTAAATTTTGTAACAAATGTGTATAGCATTTTTTGGTTTTGCTTCTCATAAAAGTTAAAACTAATGGTTAAATTCTAGAGTTATTATTGTATTCTACAGGGGCGTGAATCGAAAAAAGCTGATAAAATATTGTTGGTATTGTTTTAAATGTTTCATTCATTCATAATTCAATAGTTAACCATCTCAAAAAAAATGGAGATTAGTTATAGTTGTAAATATAAGGATTTTATTATCCTAAACTACGAATTCTTTTATAACAAAAAATAGACCATTCAATGAAATATCACATTATTTACTGCGTTGGGTATATAATGTCATAGGTTTTGATTCCTTAATTTTTTTCTTACACTCTTTATTTGATATTAAATCGCATCTTTTGTAGGTATAATATATACATTGGTTTCCGCCGAAGAAATAATAAAATAATTTAACTAGATTTATCATTTGAAATGCTAAAGCTTTAGACATTTTTGGTTTACTAGATTTTGGGGCACGATTAGGCTTATTATTTTAACTATGTAAATAGTGTTTATTACTTTCCAAAATTATTGCTCTTTGCCTGTTATTTTCAATAATATTGATTTTTACGAGTTTGGTTGAGATTAAAAAGGTAGCCATGAACATAAAAATTTATTTTTTCCTTTTTGTGATAGTGTCTATTCACAAATTCCAATTTTTTTAAATACTATAAAAATAAATACCCACCATGATTGCAATATTAAGTAATTTTAATTTAAAAATAATTGTTATTTCAAATTATAACGATAAAATACATTTTTTGTTCTCAAAAAAACCCACAAGTAATTTAACTAAATGTTAATTATAATTTATAATTGATAATTATTTTTGATAAAGTAAAAATGTAACGCTAGAACTTACCTTTAAAACGGTAAATTAATTTCAAGTTTAATTGTTTTTAATACAGTAACTACTAACTAACTATATGCATATTATAATAACTGTGTTATGTCTTAAGATTCGACGGTTTCGACCGGATTTTTTTCAATACGTGCCGTTAAAATTTAATCTTTATCATTTAGGTACTATATTGTACAAAACGAGATAATTAGTATTGCTTTATCGGTTTATATGATTAAATTATGACATTTAATACACGTTGTTTTAATGGTCGATTATTATTGTTATAGATATTTTGTACATTTTGGTATTTGAACAAGTAACAACCAGCATTCTAACCTTTCAATATTTCATACTTTTCAATATTTCAACTTTTGTCGTTTTAACCTATCGAAATTTGAACTGTCGACGTTTCGTACACATGTAGAAAACGTATAATACGTTCCATCAGCGTATAAGAGACATCAGATTACTACCATTGTCATTTTATTTTAAGTAAAACAAACTAAAATTCTTATTTTACGATCATTATTATCAAAACAAAATATTGCTCAAAATAATTTGATAAATTTGTTCGAAATTAATGCATAGTTATTTTCAAGCTGTTTATCGGAGATAATTTTGTAGAAATTTCTGGAGTTAACTACTTAAGAAATGCATAAATGAACATCTTATTTAGATGAAACATTATTTATTTATTTTTATTCTGTTATAATATTATATAAGTACTACGTTTGTATTTTAGACATGAGACTAAATAATGAAATTATGTAAGTGTAAAAATAAAAAATTTCTATAAATATCTTAAGAAAAGTAAAATTATTTTGAAAATTTTGTTGGACTTAAAAACTGATAATAGGAACAATTAATATTCCTAGTAATTACAGTTATTTGTTTTTTAGATACAATACAATATCAAAAATCGTTTAAGGATGAATAGTTATTCTACGAGTGAATACCTAATACCGTAAATATTTAAACTTTAATTAAAAAATTAATATGACTTTTAGTTGAGCTTTTTTCTTTTATTATAATAGCTAAAAAACTAATGAGAAATATTGTATAATTTTATCAAATTTTAGACTAAAATAAATTTTTCTTTGAATTTCTAATTACAAAATAATTAGTAGATCATTACAATTTTGACAAAAGTTGTTAAAATTTTAACTTTAAGCGTTAATAAAAAATACTGTAATTCTATATTATTATATTTCTCAATTGATAAATAAACTACTTATTATAAGGAACCTCGTATTACATTTTAAAACATTTTTATCCAGCTAAATAGTTTTTATCAGAATTAATTAAAAACATTTTTTAATTTCAAATGTCTATACACAGTTTAAAAATATTCAAAATTCTCATTACTTATAAAGTATGGTTATATAACAGTTAGCGAACATTTCAAGTGCCTACGATTATTTGTTTTTAAATTACAATAAAAATTAAATTTGTCAAGTACAGGTTTTATGTAAACATTTTTGTTTTTTTCTTCACCTGAGAATTATATATTTTTGAACATTTAAAATACCAATCAACTCCAATTTTTACCTGAAATTACTCACAAAATTAAAAATTGAAAAATTTTTGTTGTCCCTAAATATGGTAATGAGTAAAAACAATACACTCATCAGTTCTCTAAGAATCTAAATATATACTATTTTAATAATATTGCTTTTATTATATTATTAAGTGCAATGTTTTTAGAAATATAAAAAACTAATAATGAATAACTTCAATAAAAAAATATAGCTCGAAGTATGCATTTAGCTAGTTTTTCAATGATTGAAAATGATGAAAAAAATGTTTGTATTGCAATAACAATTTAAATGGAGAAAAAATCTTTTTTTAAATGTTCTGTTAAAAAAAAAAAAAAAAACATTTTAAATAAAAATTTAACACAAGTGTTATGTTCTGTGTAATTGTGATTATAAATTACCTGTTATGTTAAACTATTAACTTGGTTTAACGAACGATATTATAAACTGAAGAGTATTTTTGTGTGCGTTTACTTAACAAAGGAAATATCTAGTTTTCTAAACATATAATAGTTTTTACAGAAAACAACTATAGTTTTTAAATAATACCATTATTGATTATTATAAATTTTACCTATACAGATGTAAATTATGTTATAGGTATTCCTATTTTATATTTACATGCTTTTTGTTTTCATATTATTAGTTGTTTTTCTTTAAATACAACATTTATGATAAAATTTAGGAAAATAGTGTGCCAGTGTGCCAAGTGCTTATTTGATGATTAATATATTAAATGTTTGATTTTCAGTGCCAACTAACCACTAATAATTCTAAATATATTAGTTTTAAATAAATATTACCCTTACGAAAAGACAAACCATGAAAGTCAAACGGCACTTTACTTCTATCATTTTATTAATAATTTCCGCAATTATAATGGCTACTGGTGTTTTTTCACAAGGTAGGTTAGGTTACCTTTTTACTAACATTGAACTTATCTATAACTACTTTTATTATTTAAAAATATTATCAATTTTTATTTAATAAAATAAATGGACAAGATGCAGCAACTTAATAAATGTATTTGTATTATTTCTGTATATATATTTTAAAGACAAGATTTATAATGTTATTGTTATACTGGCATAGAACAATGTAATTATATTTTTTTTCAAGTCTCTCATAACAACAATAAAATAAATAATAAATTTAATATTGATTTTTAAAATTTATTGATTTCAACAATTTTATTTTCTTTGGAAAAAAATATTAAGCCAAATTTGTATAAAATGAATTACTTTTCAATGGTTATGGTGAATATATGAATATATCACTTTAATTTGAAAACAATTTAAATACTTTAATTCTCAATCTTTTGTTGTGTATCTATGTACCTACCTACATAAAATATCATATTATAATACTTCAAACTCAAATCGATTGTTTTTTAAACTCGAATCTAAGAAAAAAGAATACATTTAAGTTTGTATTGTATTAATATTTATTCTGCTTTAAGTATTAAAACAATAATTAAAATTTATTTTGTTTGAGTACATATTTAGTACTTATAGTAGTTCAAGCTAATTATAATGCTAAAAAATATTAATGATATTTAATAATTTTATTTTAAGGTAATTCGATGTTACCATCACTCGATGACGTATCCAAGTTATTCAATACTCTAGCTGGAAATAGTTTTAAAAATTGGAATACAGGTAATTTTAAAAGTTAAAATTAATTATTGAAGGAGAAATACAACTAATAGAAAAAAAAATTGATTTGTAATTATTAATTTTAATTTACAAATTTATTGGTTTTTCCTTATTATGAAAACATATAGTTTGAATTATTAAATTTAAATATTATATATTATAAACTAGGTTATTTTAGGAACCAATCAATCAGAATCAACAATTGATTGACCGATTATCATCAGTTCTAAATAAATACTAATAAGTAATGACTAATGCTAATATATTTATAGTAGTCATAAATACATCACTTATAAGCATGATTTATAGTATAAATTATCATATTGTTTCGTAGTATGTCCATAATAAAAAAATTAATAACATTTACATTCTAATATGAATTTTTTAAATTGTTTTATTACTTAACAATTATCCTATATGAATAGTCGTCCACAATACATATTAGGTCCACCAGCTCGTAACTTTTTAAAGTCATTATGATTTGGTAAAAATATCTATCGTTGTTGGTGTATTAATCATTTATGTGCCTATATAATCGTGTTAGATGTAAAACTATAAAAAATTATATTAATTATATCTTCTGATGAGGTTTAGTCAATATAAAAAAAATGTATTTATATTTAATTTCAATCAATTGAAACTTTATAGGTTGTTTTAGTTTTGAGTTTATACTAAGATATTATGATAATTTTTGGCACCAGAATTCGTTATTTTTAATTACTCTTTGTCAATTTTTAGAGTTTAAATTTAGAAAAAAGATATATAATAATAATAATTATAAAATTTCATAATTGATGTCAAAAAAATATACTTACATAAATAATGTATTTTTGAGTATATTTTTTTTTTCTTTCTCAGGTCCAGTTGGAAGAAACTTTTATAAAGGTAAAAACTTATTATAGTACATTATACACAGTATAAATATGCACATCATATGTCAAAAAAAACAAATAACGCTGTATTACTAAGTGTTCTATGTACATTTTTGAATTCGTTTGAAATTTATTTGAAATTAACATTGGGTATTTGAAAATAAACTAATATTATTGTTTGGCATTTGTCGATAAAACATAACTAAGTATTAATGATTTATGCTTATGCTGCATTATAAAAATATCCACTCACAAATAAAAATTTCTTTGGAATGTAAAATAATCGTCAAAGGAAATACTCTATGTAACATATATCTATCACTGTAAAAATGTGACGAGCTTTATACACATAATAGTGCCGTACTTAGTATAATCTGAGTCCGGTGCTAAGAATAATTTTTAGCGCCCCCACTCCTTTTACCAAATAGTTTTATACCTATTAGGAAACTACATAAGTTTATGGGAAAAGATTCGTTAGCTAATAGCTTTATCATTTTTTGCACATTCAACATTTTTGTCACTATTTATAACAATTTTTATAGGAGATATGTAAATAGAGAGATAGCCTTTTTTGAGTATATTTTGTATATTTCATCGACAAAAGCAGTAGTAATAATTATTATATATTTTACACAACTCGTAGGGTTGAACTCAGAAGTTTTCAAAATCTGTATAATATATAATATAATAATTATAAGTTTTAAATAGTATATTAAATAAACGGGTTAAAAATAAAATTGTACTTCTCGTTCAGGTCGACATTCGTTTATATTATTAAATTATTATAGTTTTATTCAGTAATAATATTTTAATTATTGTTATTGATGATCAACGATGTCGTCATTTTGGGGAAAAAATAAATTTCAACACTAAAAATAAACAAAAATAAAAACCAATCATATCCATAGCTTTTTAAGACAGTACATGATCGCCAACAATAGATTTTAAAATTTTATCTCATCTCCAGCCAGACATATAGCCAAGATTGTATTTTATTTTTTATTTTTTGAAGCGGAGAGCTTTTAAATAATTTTGAATTTTTTTTTTCTTGATTAATATACAAAATATTTTATTTTTAATAATTATAATACAATTCAATATAATTATTCTCAACTAATAGATATTTTTCTCCATACTATTGGCTGTATACAATAAACAATAACATTAAAATTTAATATTACACTATAAAATTAATTTTCTGTTTTTATTTTTGACTATTGTTCTTAATATTTCTTTTATAGAAACAAATACTTCCCAATGTATTAACAAAAGAGCAAGTTCCGTTAAATTTAAATTTTCAATTTTATTACGAGATAATGTTTCTAAGCGTTTCAATGATAAAAATGAACGTTTTATTGCTGTAGTAGAAACTGATAGTTTTTAAAATTTTTAACAGAAAATTTATGTTAAAAATTCATATCACACATGCATTCAAAATATCCATCATTTCATAAGGTTTTTTTTTACATTTACCTATTTTTGATTATTCGTCGTAATAAATATTCAGACATAACCACTTTTTCAGATATAAGATCTCCGTAAAATCAATTGAAATTTTAAATTTTTGATACATTTTCATTTAGAACGAATTTTGGTTAGGCTTTAGGCAACATGCTTGTATGATATTGTTAGATAATAATTTACGTTATTTGACGTTATTATTGATGTGCATCGTGTCTACATGACAAAATAATATTTGAAATTTGAACATACTTCAGTGGCTTATTTTTTTGCACCAAAATACAATATAATATTTTTGAATAACAAGTATTCAATAAAAAGTGTTTTAATTTGATTTAAATTATAAAGAATCACGATTTTATATGCTGGTACAAAAAAATTTCGTACCTATTACTAGTCAAAATTATGAATCATTAAAATTCAAAGTGAAACTATAACATTTGTCAACTGGTAGTCGACACCAGCGATCAGGGTAATGTTAATGATATTGCGATCATGAAGTCGAACGTAAAAAATATATGAATTAATATAGTTAACTTTCAATAATATTACTTTGATTATAAAAAAGCTTTTGGAACCCCGGTGGTCATGGCACCCGGTGCACATGCAACACTCGCACCCCTTCTAGGCACGACTTGGGACACAAAAACAATAATAATAAACACACGTTGTTGTAAAGTCAAATACTAATAAGCCACTTAGAATTTAAAATACGATTTTTCATTAAAAAATAAATAATTTTATGGTGCTTATTCGCAGAATACACGTGTTAAGAACATCAAAAGTTAAATAAATTGATTACCCTACAAGTCTATAATGACTAGATTTATGTTCCATAAACGGAATTGAAAATATGTAAATACTGTATTAAACAGCGTTACTTGTCTCCACGAGCACATGGTGTCATGGTATGTTTATATTGTAAATTATATGCACTATTCTTAAACGTAACTACGTAAATTACAAGTTATAGTATTATAAATGTTTAAATTATAATATATACTAACTTTTTATTAAACATTTGTTTTCAGTCGTTGGATTTGCACCTGCTATAAAAGATAGTATGTCTATATTTTGTTCAACTTAAGTTAAAATTTATTTATGTATAATCGACTCTCGATAATTCAAACCTTCGGTAATTTGAAGTAAATGCTCGGTCTCTTGAAAATCACGTGGTAATTAAAATAAAAACAATGAATTTAAGTACACTTAGTAATTCGAAATTAAATTTTGGGAAAACTGGTCGCTAACACGTGACAATTCGAAGTATTATCCGTTTAACGCTCGTCAATTCGAATTATATTCACTAAATGTATTTTATCAATATTCTTTTAATCTTTTTGTTAATAATTTATTATACAATAATCGTGTAGAGATTTAGTTTATTATTTTCAATAACTATAGAATTATTATCGTAAGAACTTTATCGTTATATTTCTTAATCGTTTCTAATTGTAATTTAATTTGTCGATAGCCTACCTCTTGTGACTTTAAAAGAGGCTAGTTCTTCCTTGGAAAAATTACGGAACTTTTCGCTCCAGTCAGAAGTCACTGTTGAGGTTTTTGATGCTTTATTTACTATAAAAATACTATTGAAAAAATGAAACTAAATTCGATGAAGCCGAAAACTACTGCAGATTTCTTCGAAAATTAATAATCTTTTATAATAATAATTTAATTTACATTGTATATATATTATATAATTTAATATACAATTTAAAAGCAATAAATAACTTTAATATATATTATTTGATTTGCTAAAATAATTAATAATTATGTATAATAATAAAAAAAACAACATTTTTTTCTTACTTTCAGTAATTCGAATTTTTTTTTATTCTTTCGTTATTTCGAACTACTCAACAATTCCATCTCTCGGTAATTCGAAATTTTTCAAGCCCCGTTAACTTCTAATTATCGAGAGTCGACTGTAGTATATGTATTTAACTATTATAATTATATATTATTTCATAAAATCTATAGGTTCTTAAAATAAAATATTTCAATGATAATAGTTTATAAACTAAAATAAATAAAATATAAATAATATTCTAGATGTTTCAGTTCCTGATTTATTAAAATTTATGTCAGATGATGCTGATTTAGTTAAAATTGCGGCATTTAATAGAATAAACAAGATGTTTGATGTAAGTTTCAATTTTTTTTTTTTAACTATATACAATTTATTACTAGTAATTACCAAAACATAGAACTGAAAAACTTTTATGAAGTAAATGAAAAAACTTTTTAAAGGAGTAAAAATAGCCTGTTCGTCAATTTTAAGTCAGAAAATTATTAAAATATTTATTTAAGTGTTAAAAGTAATAATTTTTAGTATTTTTCAAAATAAGCAAGTAAGCAAAAAAACTGTAGATACTTAATTTTTCATCTAATTTTTATAATAGTATTTAGTATACTTAAATTGAATAAATTTTTAAATATTTTTTATGTTTTTATATTATTTGTAGGTATTCTTGATTTATATACATATAATACACAGTTTTTATTTACGAGTAAGAAAACCTTAAAAATTTTATACAAGATTCTTAATAAGTTGTTCTTAATAGAATCAAAAAAATTGAAAACTATAGTTTTTATAAATATTTAAAAGTTTAAATGTTAATGACAATTTATTATATTCAAGCGTATAATATAACGATTTTAAACTTAAATGATTTTTATATACAATAAAAAATTTTAAGTACCTATTAAGATTAATTTTAAACTATTTATTTTAGAATTTTTTTTTTTTATATGTTAATAAAAAATTATTTTAAAATCAAAACATTTGAAAATTAAACAGGATTTCTCATGAAATATACCTGTAGTGATTTTAAAAATATCTAAAATAAATATGTGCAATTTTCTTTTACATATGTATACTTCAAGCCTTTAAGGTAAAATGTTTTTAAAGATTTTAATTATATTAATGCAAATTTGTAAGTCAACAAATATTATTTATCGGAAATTAAAACTTTTTGCCATTACATTTACTATAATTTTTAATTAAAAATGATATTTAACAATACTTAAATTAATTTTAAGCTATTAATTATATAACACAAACCTGTTAATACCGTTATATATGTCAATTATGACTTTTATAAGTTAAGTAATAATAACGAGTAATATTATATGAAATAATATTATAAATAATTGCTGTATAATAAATTCCATATCTGCTAATACCAAGTTTTTTATCCTATGATTTATCGCTGAATTAAATTTAATACATATATTACAATGACCAACTCAATAACGAGGAATACTCGATACGTCTTATTAAATAACATAATGACTCCAGGGTTTATTTCAGACTCTCTATTTCTTGTGGGGGGGATGCCATTAAAGTAAATAATAAAGGAAAGGAAAATGTTGTTTTAAGGTACAGCTTTAGAACGATTACCTAAATAAATTGTTATAATTTCTGTAAGGTATTTTCAATTTTGATAATTACAAAGAAAAACTCACACTTTACAACCAATTGTATAGTTTTTTCCAATTCTTTTGATAGGAATAAATTTTTATTAGTTTATAAATATTTTGATATATGGTTAATTTGTAGGTGAAGGTAAATTGGTGAGCTATCGACATCTTCTTGTTCTCACATCGACAAATGTCATACATTTGGAGAAATTATAAATTTTTCTTCTTTTTTTAGGGGGAGGGGGTTTTTGGTCAGCCTTCCCTAAAATAAACACTATATGGCACTGACTTTTTAAATATAGCTATATTATATATCAACTGGGTTACAACTACTAATTATTAGATAATATTCAACAATGGATAATTTGTCATTATCTAAGCAAATTAATTTCCAAACCTAATAGGATCTTATACTTAACCACTGATTTCTCTAAGTAAGTAAGTACAGTTGTATTAATGTAATGTTAAATTTTTTATAATATATCGTCAATAAAAATATTAAATATATATAAGCTAATTAGTAATATCAACACATTTTAATATATTACATTAGTTGAATATTTCCACAGCCTATTTTTATAATACTTAATATTTTAAAATAAAAACATACTTACGTATTACATGGATCAAAAAAAAAACATGTTGAAAATATCATAGTAACTACAACTTTTGTTTATCTGTTTAGAAATCTAAATCCTTTGAAGATAAAAAAGAGTTGATTCTTGCTAAAATTCAAGGCACCATTGAACTGATAAAATATTATGGTTTAAAGTACAATTGTCCGAAGGTAAAATTTACACTTGCTCAAGGTAAGCTTATAAATGTTAACTTTTAAAATTAAAATTAAAATTTCTGTAAAATTTTTTATTGCTTATTTCATCTAAATTATAATTTATCTTAAGAGCATGAATACTCGGAGATTTATCTCTACTATAGTGCCCATGCGAATAGTTAAGAAATTTTGTTTGTGCAATAGTAAAAATTTATTAAAATACAATGTTCAATTAATTCTAAAATATTTAAACAAATATCTAAAATGTTTTAACTAATTTTAGGACTTTATTATGTACACATTTGTCATCAATATCATAAAAAAGACCCGGGTGATTGTTTTAAGAAGAAAGCTATGTTGTTCGAAGCCTTCATCTTCACCCATAAAACTGAGGACACTCGTTTAATGAGATATTGGATAAAAAAAACAATGAATAATGCAAAAACACATCTAAAAAATAAAGATGATGATACAATAGAATTTATCGAGACGAGAATAGCATGTGAAGTAAGTAATAACCTAATTATATCAAATAATTAATAATATTTTTTGGACTATATAGTATATACAATTATACCTAGATGGTAATATGTATTTCTATCAATTTTAATGTTAGATTAAAATCATACTTAAATTATTATTAACTTTAACTTATTTAATAATAACTTAATTCCCACTCCTTTAACAGTTAAATGTTAAATAATTTGGTGAGATTATTGATTGGCGTCTTATTTAAGTCCAATATTTTAAAAATAAAAGTAAATCAGTAAACTTCACACTATAACTGCTCTGCTAGGTAATCTTACGTTAGGTTAGGTTTGTACTTTAAAGAGGTAAAAATTAAATATTCCCAGAGCTTTTTTTTTTAAAACCAGGACAAACAAATAAAAAACTAAGAAGAAGCGGGAATTTTCACGCTAAATCAGTTTTACAATATTGATTTCTTTATTTCGTAATAATTCAAAAATAAATAACTTTAAACTCGAAAATTTCACCAAAGATTTATATTATAATTATAATTAAAAAAAATATGTAATGAGTCAAATTTAACATACCCATAATAGTGACACACTCGACACCTAATGTACAGTAAAGGTTTGAATATTAAAATATAAATATATTTTGTGGATAGTAAATTGAATATGTAATCAGCGTCTTTTAAAGACGCCACTCAACTGTTATTTTTTCTACTTGCTAAAATAGTCATAACCAAATTGTGTTCATAAATATTATTTATTACAATAATATTGATTTTATTGTAATTTATAAGTTATATCTATCATTCAAATATAAATCAATTAATAAACGAATTAAAATAATTTTAAATTAATACTTAAGTGTTAATAAATAGCATAAATACGTCCAAAAAAAAATAATAAAACAAAAAAAAAAAAAAAATACCAAACATTGGTTATTTAAATAAAGAAATTAAAAAATTAAGAAAAAAAAAAAACTCCACTTAAATAAGTTTATACTCGTAATAACTATTAAATTATACATTAAAATTTTATCATTATAATTTAATATGTTTAATAATATATACATTTTTAATTTATTAACTATAGTAAATTATAAAAATATTATTAATTATATAAAAAATTTAATTTTTATAATAGTATGAACATAATAATTTAAAAAGCCTTTATCTGAAGTTTTTAATATTTTCACTATTTTTTGTATGACAATTTTTACTTACTTAATACTTTATCTTGATAATCGTAACTTTGAATTTGTTTATACATATCCGATTTGAATATTTTTTAGGACACTAATAAATATCGAGATGAATGAGTAGGTACTAGAAAAATATTAATTGAAATGCGAATTGAACTATTCACAAGCATTGATTATTTATATTTGACGATGATGCTAAAGCTTCATTATTGAAGAAAATTATGCATATTTATCAATATACTTGTAAACTAAGTACGAAACAAAAGTATCTAATATTTGTAGAAACATTATTGCAGCTAATGTGATATGTAAAAACATAAACTTCATTTGAACCTATGAAAACTAATCCAAAAATAAAACGCAACTATTTTCCAACTTCGCTAATTTAATTTTTATCTATTTAAAATAACTCGAGAGATTTTTCTCATTCTTTTTAGATGAACATAATGTTAACTCGGAGAGTCAACTAATCTTAAAAATTAGGAGAGTTTGTATACATGGTTTTAAATAAAAATTGTTAATATGTATATATATAATTAATAACTATTAATATTATTATGTTTCTTGATAATATAATAATACTTTAAATAGATAAGAACAAAATACTCTGCATATAATCAACTTAATAATTTAAAAAGCAGATTGGTACCTCTTTTTAAGCTGATAACATTTTTTTTATGTTAATAAAGTTATTTCTAGCTTACGTATCTCGTGTTAATTTAACTTAGTTTACATTGAGTTAATTATTTTCATTGAGTTAACCTTTATTTATTTTTAAAAATAATAAAAATATTATAAATTATAATACTAGATTATATTGTGATATAGTTAAGACCTTAAGTTGGAAAAAATTCAAGGGAGGGGCTAATGTTTCCAAATAGTTTTAAACGTTCCATGTATCATTTTATGTAGAATACTATAATTTCTAATGTATATGGTATGTGTAATATCTAAATAGTGATTGTGTAACATACTCATCTCACTTTTAATCCTGAATAATATTCAAATTCGTAATTTGTTTCATAAAAAATTTAAATCAAAAAAAAATACTTTTTTTAAAATAACTAAAATTTTATACAAATTTAATATTTTAAAATAAAATATTTTTTAGAAGTAATGATTATCTTTTAAAAACACTTAAGAAATCAGCCAGAATATATATATATATATCATAAAAATATAGTGTTTTTAATGCTTTAAATAATTGTACAAGAAAAAAATCAAATTTTACTCATGGTGGGGTGAGCATGCTTAAAAAATCACATATTTACACTTTACCTATAGATATATTTATCAAGATATTAAGCTTAATTTTTTATAGTATTATTATGTTATTGGCTAATCGAATACCTATTAATCACAGTATAACCATTCACAATAACTAATAAAATCAATTATTTTTACGCATAATATATAAGATAGTCTATAATTTGTATTAAATACATTTAATAAAAGTAAAGTAACAATTGATAAAAAAAATAAATAAATAAAAATCAAGATTAATCCCAACGGAATTTTGAATATATTGACTAATGTTTGGTTATCATTGGAGTATTCTGGCGTACCTTACGAATAATTTATTAAAGGAGACGCGTTTTTAACCGCTTTTTATAGAAATAAATATTTTATTTAATGATATATTACGTATCATATTACATAATATGCATTTTTATTTTTATTAACATAATATTTTTTTTTCAGTTAAAACTATTGCACGAAAGTAAAAACATATTTTTAAAAGCAGCATTGAAATTATATACGGGTAGTAATAAAATAAAAGATTGTGCTACAAAATTAAAAAAATTTGAAAGTAAAATAAAACAAGTTGGTTCATTTCCTGGAGAATATCATTATTTACTGGCCAGAGCATATTCCCACCAAAAAAAATATAAAGAAGCTTTTGAACACCTTAAGGAAGCACGTACATCTAAAGTTTTAGACTCAAAGGTAATATAAATTTAATAATTTGAATTATAAAATAGATTTTGTACTTTTATAAATCATAACGTTCTTGTTCTACAGTAAAAAAGTATTTCGACCTTCAACTTCGAAGGTGGGGTTTCTGATAGAAAACATTGGATCTAGTTGTTGCTTTAAAGTATTCAAAATTGAAAATTTCCAGTACTTTTCAAAATATTTGGAAAAAGCAGGATGTTTTTGTCAGTTAAATCGATTTAGTTTTTTGTTGTAATTCAAAAATTAATATTTGCTGAGACTTGAGTTTTCACCAAATATGCTCAATTCCATTTTTCTTTTAGTAATTAAGTTATACTCAAACTCCATAATTTCAAATTCTTGAATATTTTCGTCTAATTAAGGTGTGTCTTGTGGTGTATAGACTTCTTTTACTCAAATAAGAATTTCTTTTTTTACAGTAAATTATTTAGTGGATACATTTTTTGGAAATTTGAATTAAGTACATTTAAAATGATATGTTGCTATTTAAGAATAAAAAACTTAAAACGATTTCATTAAAAACGGTATAAAAGCAGTTATAATGTTAAAGCTTTATAATAGATTTTAAATGTTCCAAAAATAATGTCTATTTTGTCGAGAATAAAATTATTCTGTGGCTTACATTTCATTTTTTATATTTTTTATTTATTGATTTATTATATTCATGATAATATAATAAACTAATTTAAATTAATGTTTTTTTTTCAACAGACTAGATATGCCAATAAAAAAGCGCATGATTATTATGAAAAATTATTCATACGTCTTTATACTAATTAGACAAATATAAAAAAATAAGGATTCATTTTTGATATTTATTTTAATTTGGCTTATATAAAAAAACAAAAGATTTAAAACACAATTATTTATTACATTTTATGTCAATTAAGTAAATATCCTTAATTTAAAAAAAAGTATGAATTAGTTAATAGATGTACTACGAAAAGTTCATATATTTATGTATAATATATATATATATATATATAATATTTATGTATACAATATAATATGCATATTAATATGCTACATTTTTTTCTGATGTTCAATATATGTTAATCATTTTATTTTAAATAATTACTGAAGAGATAAGGATAATATATAGACATTTTTAATTATTTATTCTTAGATTTTAAGCGAAATAATGAATGTATTGGTTTTGCAACGATGTGTATTTTTTATTTTTTTTGGTCTGTTATCGCCTTCTTGATGAGTATAAACATCCTTTAATATTCAGCTGTTTTTGGTAGTAAATTTAATATATTTCGTACTTTGATGGTTCAAAAATAAAAATTACCAGTTTTTAATTATCAAATAATTGGTTAAACCAAAAAAATTCGAAAAAATAGAATACTAAGTATTAACACAACAGTAATTCTCAACAAAATCGGTTTTGTTATATTTTTGTAATCAAAAAACTAATAATTGTACAAAATATATGTATACTTAAAATTCACACCAAATATATATTTTGCATAAGTATTTTTTGATACGGCATTATTTTCAAAATAAATAGTTAGATAAGTATTATAAATTATAAAATATTCTTAGAAATTATATGCTGACACGCCGTCTATTATTTAGGATCTTTTTTCGCATTCAATGATTATTACCACTGAATTCAAATAAAACTTATATCCATTAAAACAACGTACGTAATGATCATAGGTTTATTTGAAACTCGGTACCTGTATTGTACGTAACACCTATACCTATACCTTTTTACAGTCTTATTTTTACTATTTATTTTTCCTTTACCATAAAAATGTTTTGTGTATTTAAGTTGTTAAGATGCAATATAGCGAGTATAAAGCGTTGTAAATGTAAGTGACTCGTATCATGACATCATGTTTGTAAATAATTATAACAACATGGAATACTTATCTTTTCACTATTGTAAGTACTTTTGTATGCTATTTGTCACTACTATTATTTTTACCTGACTTAATAATTTATTATTATAAATAATGTTCATGACGTTCATATGAGTGAACTTTTCATTAAGTCAATCATTGCCGAAGAGTAAAATTACAAGCTGTATAGGATTGTGTATTTTTTTTATAACTCATAAATAGATATTAAAAATAAAGTAATACATTTTAAAACAAATCAAATATTTTGAGTTTAAAATATTGTATAGGTATATTATATTTTTTTAAAAGTTACGATACGTAATCTTAAACAAATCCTTTAATAATCCACCCCTGATCGCATTGGTTATATTATGTCTTAACAGGGCATTCAGATACGTGATTTACCAATAGAAAAAAACAAAAGACCGCAAGGGTGTATCAAAAATGGTTGTTTACTAATTATGAGGTAGTATTGACGTTTTGTCAACTTGCCATTTACAGGTCAGTTGATTTTTATATCGATATACACCATTCCATATAAACTGTTATTACTTATTAACGATCAAGAAATTTATAATAATAAAAAAATAATTTATAATAATTATTACATATATTATAATTAAATTTATTTAACTACTTATTATACTATATTGTATGACTCATTTCGACTACAAATTCGGTCAAAAATGTTTAATAGCTGATTTCCATTAATTTCATATTGACATATCGTACGAGTATACCTACCATATAAATATAGAATCTTTTAAAGATTATTCTCTGCAAATATTTTTGTTTATCGTGGTGGCATCGCAGAATATAATATATAATAATAGCATGAATAAGGCAGGAAATCCTTAGTGTCGACAACAACATGTACATACTTACAGATTTATGCTTTAAGGACTAATCACAAACTACTACTGGTATTACACTGTATGTGCGGGTGTGGTCGGCTTCCTATACCTATATACCTTTACCTTTCCCGGTCAGTGCGTCTTAATAGAAATAATATTTTGTACCTCAATTCATGTCAGATAAAGGTCAAATTTTACTGCCGCGCCTGGCTATTTATTGAAGTATATATAATAGTATACATACAATATAAATATAAGTGTATTTTTGTATATTATATAGACGAAACACATTATAACTATCACAATGAACGGAGTTATATACTACAATTGAATTCATATTCTATTGACTTGTATAAGTATATTTTTATTTTTGGAATTTGCAGAACACCACCATCATTGTTCAATATTTTCCCTCGCTAAATAAACTATAATCAAAAAATCGTCATTGGATCTATAACAATTTCACCACAAAAAACACATAAAATTTAAAATATTCTATCTTAGAATCAATATTTTTTAATTGATAATATTATAATAATTTCAGCTTGTATTTTGATTTCGAAATTTTTAAATCGATCGATGAAATGTATATTTATTTAGATAAATAAACATTGAGATGCAAAAATAAATTTTAAGCTTTCCGTACATAAATATATTTATTTTACTCGTGAACTCGTCAAAACACAGAATATTTTATTTTTAAATTGATACTATTATTGCTACCATATTATCAATATATTAGTATATCAGAGATTGATAATAATAAATTAACTGAATCGCTAACTGAAAAAAAAGGATTACTCCATTTATTATAATTTTTTAGGAGAAAGAAATGAAATGTCGATATCCCTTTTCTGATGCTAACTATAATTTAAAAATGTTCGGATAGTCAAATAATTTGTCTCATTTTTACAGTAAACGATGTATTTATGTGTGTTTGAAAAATGGACTTGTCCCTTTTCTGGAGTTAGCAGTCCAAGTACTGTAGGTTAAATTTGTATTCAATTTAAATACACTTTAATGTCGAATCATTGTGAATTAAAGATCAATGCTCACAGTAGAACATTTTAAAATAAAAACAAGTCACGAGGATCAAGCATGTTTAACAGTTTATTTTTATAATAACTTTTAACCGTCAGTAATTGTAATAATTATTGAATTTGTCAAATGCTGAGTGGCGGAACAACAAAAAACATTTAATAAATAAACCTTTCCCCTAACAACTATATTTTATTTAACTATAGGTATATAGAGATATACACGTTACACGTACAGTTTTTCTTGTCGATAAGAGGATATACATTTTTTTTTCACGTAACTATACATTGTTTGTAAAAAAAAGGGTCTAGTTATATTGTTTCGAGGTATTAACGTTTGACAAATCCTTTTTGAGTCATGCATTGAGGAAAGACCAAGAAACCGGTAAAGACATTCCCCTCCTCTTTTAAATAAAAAAACAAAAAAAACTAAAAATAATTTTAAGTCAGCTATTTTGTTAATTGTTAGTCAGTACTATCAACTAATACAGTAGAAGCCGCTTATTAGAAATACTTGGGACCAAGGTGAAATGTGTCAATTAGCCGATTGTTTTTAATAAGCAATTGTAAAAAGAAATGAATAATATGCGAAAAATATATGTATGAATGTATATTGTATAATTTAAAAAAGTATGTACAAATGTATATATTTTACTATATTACGAGTATATTTAAAATATTCATGTTTTTTTTTTTTTTGCGTCGAGTAGTTTTCCATGTCCCATGACCATATATTGCCCCTTTGGCTTTATCATTTTTGAGTGCGTATGTGTGTTCAGGTAGAGCTCTAAAATAAAGCCCAGTCTTGTCCGCATTAAAAATATTAGAGGGTGAGTATTGGGCTAGCAAATCGGTCCAATAAGTTTCAAACCACGATTGACTGCACTAAAATCGGCTTAAATCTTGGAGTTTTTTTAACATTTTTAGATTTTTAGAAAAACGTAAAACTAATCACCTTTACGTACGCTGAACTACAAATGGTATGTACAGAAAAAGCATTCTTACGATAAAATACAGTAAAAATAAACGTAACGATAGCATAAAGTAAGATTAAAGTACATTGGTTATTGCCGGATAACCGGTGTATATGTCAACTGACTTTCGCCTAATTGTTTCATATAACCGATGTGATGTTAGAATAATCATATTTATTTTCAATGTTCTAATATACGGCATTACGGCTGATCCGTCCCAAGACATTTTGATTCAATAACGCGATTGTATCAATATCCGTGTTCCTAATAAGCGGCTTCTACTGTAGTATACAAATAATTAAGTTTGTAGATCAAAACAGTACCTAGGTATATTTAAATATGTTTTCTCTGATAATACATAGTTATCATTCATACAATCATATATTTATTTCAATTTAAATATATATCTATATTCTATATATTATATAGCAACATACATTTTAAGCAGAAATAAATTAACATAAGTAAAACACTTACTAACTGTTGGTTTTGATAACTGTATAAATACGCTTGAATTTCACTATAAAGTACGATACACGAGACAGATGGTGTTTGTATTTATTTATTTTTTATTCGTTAGTGTATAATATATTGTAATAATACAAATTTTATTTTGGAAGACGGCAAATGATATTTACACAGATAACACTGGGCATGTCATAATTGACGTTAAACTGTGCACCGGGTACACCGAAAATTTGTCACCCATGTTATTATTATATTATATTTGGTTTGAACATTATTATTATTATTATCATTATTATATACCCCATATAAAGTATATACAATGTAGTATATAGAGTCGCCGAAATAAAAGCGAATAATACAAATTCCTCGGGTATTATTTCTTTCGGACACGAGGTGAGGTACTGAGGTCGAATATATAGGAAGAGGGTTTATGCGTGATTCACTCGGCCGAGTTTTTATATGGAAATGTAGGATATACCCAACCGCGGTCGAGGAATCACAAAGACTGACAAAATACTTCTTAAATAGACTCCGCGACACCGATGTGTGTATTATTCTGTGGTGTATTTACTTTTGTCATTGTCCATATAATATTTTTTTTCTTTCTCTCTCTTTTCACGATCTTTGAAA